CTTTCTACACAATACGCACAGGAACAAATACCCCTACAAATAAGTTTATAATATACAACTAGTAGACAAGCAACCAAAGCACAATCAATCAAATACTACTACAACTCCATAACTCGGATCTATCTATCAATCAAGCAGCAACAGCAACAAATCAGCTAACTAAATCACATACTCACGTCCCTAACGACAAGACGCCAACGCTCACTCTCAATCTCATCGATAACTTCAGAAATCGCCTAACAAACATACCACAATTCAAAGGCAAATGAGTTTATAAGAATGGATATAAACCGAAGAGGGGGGGGGGGGGGGGAAGGGTAGAGAGAGACACTGAAGGAAGACCCTGGTCAGGTATATACATACCAGACTGTGGTCCCCAGACAGTGTGCAGAGGGTACGAGAGACAGATCGACTGCATCGGGAGAGAGAGCAATATCACATCACCATGGACTAAGAACTAGCTTCGAACCTGCGGGATAAATCAAGCAAGCAAGCGGAGAGAGAGAGAGAGAGAGAGAGAGGAAATGAGACAGATTACATGGGGTAAATTCAAAGAGGGGGGGAAGAGGATTCGGGAAGGAAAAGAAAACTGAGACACATAAGGGTATCGACGGGGAGGCAAGGCGCTGATCAGATATATCATTCGAGAATGATGGTGGCAGGGCTTTTGAGAGTTTGATGAGGCATGATGGATTGAAAGAGGATGGGTGTATGAATGGGGGGGGGGGGGGGGGAGAATCAAAAGACCAAGACATCCGTGCCGCCGTGATATATGTACAACTGTCGTACTGACAGGGTTCGGGGTATTCTAATGAAGAAAGGAAAATTGGAATGGGTGCATGTCACTCCAATAGCCAAAAGTGGGAAGACCGATTCGAGAAGCAAAAGAAAATGGGAAAATGGACCGTTTGCATCCTCGCGCCCCTCCGGACCAGGCCGATGGTTCAATCAAAAACGAAACTGATAGCGTTCTAACCCTGCAAACCCATGAAGATTTCCTGACAGTTCTCAACCAAGAATTTCAAGACCTCATTCTTCTTCTGCACATCAGTCATTTCACGTGCGAGACTTTCGGGCCGCATGATGGTTGGCGCAAACACCACGGCGATGTTCTGGCTGGTCATCAGGTTCTCCTTCTCGCGCTCGACCACGCGCTTCAAGTGGAACACGAGGAACTCGAGCACATCCTGGTGAACGCGCGGCAGCTCGCGCAGATTCTTCTGTAGATGTTCGACCCGGGCGGGTTGAGAAGTGATCTCGCCCGAATCGATGATCTTCTCGTAGACGTCAAAGGTGATGAGCGGCATGGGCAGCTTGCGGAAGTACTGCTTCAACGCAGAGGTCACAGCATGAATATCGAGGTCAGGATCGGAAATATCGTAATCCTGTGGAGAGCGCTCGAAGCCTTCCCGAATAGTCTGAATTGCAGAGCTGGCGCCAGACTTCCGGTAGATACCTTCCATATCCATACCTAGGTGGACAGTTAGCATCCCTAGCGCACGTCCGTAACTGGCACCACATACCTCGTAGTTCGACCTCCTGAATACAGCGAGTAATGATGGCGGGGATGATGCTCTTCTCCTGCTCCATGCGTTGTTCCAGATCTGTACCGAAGAGGCCTGCTGATCTATATTAGTTATCTGCTTGTATGCAAGTGGAACAAAAGAAGCCAGATACTTACCACCAGGAGCAGGGGTTTCAGCCAGAGCAGGGACGCTGTCGGTTTGCGGCATCCGTAGTCCTGTTTGTTTGCTCCGCTGGTTGCCGAAGAAGCCAAATCCGGGGCGACTTGGATCCTGCGTTTGGGAGCGTGGCAGACCCGGGTTACCCTCAGCGGGGGTCGCTTCGCTCGACATGAAGGCACCCTTGAGACCCTTGGTGACGCCCTTGGCGACGTTCTGACCGCCCTTTTTCCAATTGAACTTGCGAGGCTGTCCCTTTCTGATGCTAACCACTTGGGGACCGGGAACAATTGTAGCTGGTTCAGCCTCCTCTGAGATGTTTGTCGTCGCCACCGTAGGAACCAGATCACTGTTGGCCGCCTTGAGAGCATCAATAGCGGAGAGGGACTTCTCCTTGCCATGAGAGTAAATACCAAGACCGTTAGCCCCACGACCGTCCGTCGGGTTGGCCTTATAGAGCTCTTGGATCTGATGCACCAGCTGGTTGTTCAGCTCTGCCAGTTGAGCGTTCTTGGAGGACAACTGCTCGAATTCCTGGAAGCTCTTGTCCTTCATACGGTTCAGGTTGGCCAATTCCTCCGCAGCATCGTTACGTTTCTGCACCAGTTCTTCGATCTGTGGCGTAAAGGTATCCTTCAGCTTCTGTATCGATTCCACAAATTCCCGCAGGACATGGTTGGTCAGCTTCCCAAGATCGAGCGAGCCACCGTTGCCACGTTTTTCAGCCTCGAGGTGCTCGGTCAGCACGGTGAGTTCACGCATGGCAATCTCCTTCTGTGCATCCAAGACCACCATCGTAGAGCGCTTCTCGTGAAGTTCAGTGTTAACCTGCTTGACATCGGCACTTGCATTCAGCATCGCCTCCATCTCGGCGATCTTCTGTTCCCGATCGGACACGCGTTGCCGTTCCTTGCGCAGCTCATTACGCAGCCATGTCACTTCCTCGGGTCCTGCATTCTCAGGAGAAATCACAGACGGGCTCGCCAGGTCGGGTATCGCTGCAGATCCGTTAATAGGCGACTTCGGCCATTTGGCGTCCCTTGATAGGCGAGAACCTTTATCGCTGTAGCTGCGGCCATGGCGAACAGAGTTCGAAACGCGTCGTAGGAAAGACTCACTCGTCTGTGCATTGTTGCCATCGTCCGAGCCCATGATACGGGCCATATCTTCGTCCATGGTGAAGTCACCGCCACCGCTGTACCGCAGCAACGAGGGAGAACCCGCACCGTCGGTTTGGCGGTAGGATTCTACTTGTTGGAGAGTGCTGATAGAGTTAGGACGCGCGGGGGGCTTAGCCTGATCGTTCAATTCACTGCGTGGGGTCCACGTGGAGTCGCCAGTCCGAGGTGTACTTCTGCTCACACCGGTCCTGTCAGTGGATCGCTCGCTCCACTGGTCGCTGGGGGTAACAGAGGACGGGCGAGGAGACGTTCCGGGCTCTTTCCTCGATGGTTGATGCAGCCTGCTCTCCAGGGAATCGGCCCGTTTTGGATGCTGCACGCTCGTGGAGGACAAGAACGACTGGGCAGAGTCTACCGATCCTGTCGTCTCGTGCAAGCGACGCAGCTCATGCGAAGGCCGAGTCGGAAGTGTGGTGGTATTGTCACTGGCAGTTCTCTGAAGCTCTGGGGCCAAACCCTCTCTTTGGACGGTTGCCGATTTGGTGCTTTCGGGGCTGGGAGTGGAGAAAGTGCTGGTCTCCTTACGACCCAGGTCAGACCTGGAACTGCGAGCGGAAGCCGATCTGGCGGTGTTTGTGCCGTTGGCGAGGTCATCCTGACGCCAACGTGCCGCGTCAAGATCACCGCGGTCCCGGCCCTTTTCCTGGTACGCAATATGCGGAGATGAGCTTTCCGACCCATGAGGCGATTTCCCGTACGTTGTGGCAGGTAACTGTCCGCGCGCAGACCGCTGTTCTTCGGAGGGGTCGAACGCAACAGGGATCAAGAATTCACCACCGCCATCTGCCTCCGGTTGAGGTATGACTGAGTGTCGATTGCTTCGGTAGGTGCTCGAAGGGAGAATTAGGTTGTCTATCGGATTTTGACGAATTAGTCCCTCAGACACCACAATTTTCACAAACCACAGAGTATCCCACCTTGATTATCTGCAGCCGCACCGGTAGCAGAAGCGCTTCTGCCCCTTCCTGCGTCCAGCGCAGGCGCAGCTCCTCGCAACGTCGTATCGGGGGTTGCATCTGAATACGCATCGGCAGCTGCCTCGTCGGAGCCACGAGGCATCGGTTCGGGGTCCTCCGAGGGCAAGGAAGGGAGTGATTTGTCTAGCTTCATGTTCGCCGGCGTCTGCTTCCTCGACGGTGCTACATTCCGATTCCTCTTTCTTCGACGCTGCATGAGGGATTCATGGCAGTCCATACAAAATATACCCTGCGAGGTTCGAGCATAGCGTAGGTTTTCGATCTTCCTCTTGCAGTTCCGGCATCGAAAGCATTGTGCGCAGAAAGCCTGCTCGCCCGTCAAGATGGCGAGGTCTTCGATCTTGTTCCCACACGAACTGCAGCTGTACGTGCAGTTGCTGCAAATCAACGAACCATCTCCCAAGAGTAGCAGGTGTGCGTCGGAATCGAGAAGGGTACCGCAGGTGCTGCAGCAAAAACATTCAATGTGCCATCGATTGCCCGCTACACGGGAAGTCAAGAAAGGAGCGGTCAGCCACTTGTCAAAACAGGGGTCAAGAGGACTCAATGCAAACCTACCAAGTTCGAAAGCTTTGCCCTCTTCTAGAATCTGTTCGCGAAGAAAGCTAGGTTAGCATGCAATAAACATAGTTACTCCAGTCAGAGCCTCCTGCATACCTCTCCACAACCCTTGCAAGGATACGGGATATCATCCTGGTCCATCGGCGACTCTGGATACGCGGGGGACTCCATCCTGTACTCCTCGCTCTAGTAGCGACCGAGACAAACAAGCTAGGCACGACGAGTTGATCGAGGAGGTCAACGATAACGTGAATGCGGAAATGCGCCCGCGATGCTAAGGTCAGAGTGTTTTCGTCCAAGTCGTTAAGGAGTTCTCGATGTCCCGTTACGCATGCGACGAATTCGAAGTGGAAGGCGTGAATGCCGGTCTTGTTCGACGAGTAGAAATATTGCTAGAATATCATACAGCGAGGGAAATGCGAAACGGGGGCTTGTCAGGACGGGGGGTGTGTACAAGGGCTGTAGTGCCGGGGGGGGATATGCGGGAGGGAGGACACGAGTCCGCGCGCAGATTGGAAAATGCAATTAACTCCCACCACCAACAGCGAGCAAGAGAATGATAGAATGACGAACGAGTCTAGTGAGTAGAGTGATTAGATTAATAACAGGGTTAGTCGCAGATCGACCAGGGTCAACATGGTGGAGGAGGGGGAAGGGGGGATGGAAGTGGGAAAAGACAGGGAGAGCAAATAATAATAGCAGCTGCTGGGGACTTGGTTGATGAGTAGCGCGAAATAGGCCGCCGGACCAGACCAGCAGCAATGCCGACCAGGGGCAAAAAGACGGGGGGCAGAGGGAGGGAGGAAGGACTATCACTAACCAACTACCTGACCGCGGACGGAAAGCAACAATAACCTACTACAACCACCGCGCACCACGTCAGACCAAAAGGAAAAGAAATAAGAGAAACAAGGGAAGGAAGAATGAGAGCCAGTCAACAGGGCAGACAATCGAGCAGGGGGAGGAAGAGGAGGATGAAAGTAGAGTAGAAGAGGTTGAGTGAGAGATCGAGACGAAAGAGAGTTTGAGGCCGAAATGAAACACACCAAACGGGGAGCGTCGTTTCAGATAGACTCGCCGCGCGGAACCCCATCATCCTATCCTATTCTTACTTCCTTCTCCCGCCATGATATTAGCGAGGATGATTGTGGTCAGAGCTCTATTGTCTGGAACAATAACACTTTTGGGAGGGAAAGTGAATCACCCCCCCATTCATTCCAACTGAATCCACTCGTTTTTATTAGTTATGGCCTCCTTGGATGAGACACCCGCGATACGAGGCTTTCCGAATACGATACTGGCCACCTTCCCAATCTGGCAGAATCTGGGCTGTGTTTCCGCCGGTATCTGTAGTATTGATGGTATGGCTGATACGGAACCCGTCAGGTCTTAACGCCTCAGGCAGTCACCGACTCGGAAGTTCTAGCCAAAAGCCAGCAGATACTATACGTCCAGTAAATTAAAGCTTCTATGTACACTATCCAATCATTTCCAAAAAACGCCCTCCAAACACAATAAGGACTCTAATGCCAATACCCGGGTGAGATTGCGCCAGTATCCCAAATCAATCAATGCTTTCATCAGATGCTGCTACCTATGTGAGCCGCGTGGGAGAGAGGAGAATCCCATATCGCAAGATGCAGTCAAGTCCCACCCTCAAAAAAAGACGGAAGGCTTGTCATAGATGACCCGGCACCATCATTCTAATTATGAAGGGGTGCTTTTGGTTCTTTTCGTGGGCTTTTTGGTACAGCGATGCCGTGTTTCAGTTGCCCATCTCTTCATTAGGTCTCCAGCGACTGGTGGATCACACTCGTTCGATACGTCTCACTACGCTGGATCAGCTCCTGATGGGTTCCTTGTTCCGCACAGCGGCCCTCCTCAATCAGATAGATCTGATCCGCTCGGTGGATCGTGTTCAGTCGATGTGCGATCGCGACAATCGTCGTGCGGCCCGCTAGCGTCGTCAGGGCTTCTTGGATCTTCTTCTCCGACTCCACATCCAGTGCGCTCGTCGACTCGTCCAGCAGCAGCAGCCGTGGCTGGCGCACCAGCGCGCGTGCAATCGACAGGCGCTGGCGCTGCCCGCCTGAGAATTGCTTGCCGTCGTGGCTGCACATCGTCTGGTACCCGTCCGGCAGGGCCATGATCACGTCGTGGATGTGCGCCATGCGACACGCCGCTTCGATCTCTTCTTGTGTCGGTTCATGGCCGGGGCAAGCACCCAGACCAATATTGAATGCGACCGTTCCTTCGAACAGAACATTCTCCTGCGGCACTAAGGCGATATCATCCCGGAACTCAGTGCCTAGCTGCCGAGTCACGTCTACCCCGTCGATGATCACCGACCCGGCTGCAGGACGGTAGAAACGCTCCAGCATGGCAAAGGTCGTCGATTTGCCCGATCCGCTAGGCCCAACCAGCGCACAGAACTGACCGGGCTTGATGTCCAGGGTAAGCCCTTTGAGAATTGGACGTTCAGGCCGATTTGGATACGTGAAATGCACCCCACGAAGCTGGGCGCCGATACCGTTGCCATTCGTCTGACGTACACCCCGACGGGGCTTCTCTGCGGCCTCCACATCCTGTGCGGCGGCCTTCTCCTCAAGCAAACTGCTTGAGGGCTGCATGCTCTGCGTGGAACCCGGAGCCAGCTCCTCCTCCGCGGAGCGGGTAGTGAGCAGATCAACAATGTTAGACGACGCCAGACGGGCCTTGGAGATATCCGGCGCCAGAGCAAACATTTGACCACAAGACTGCGTACTGAATAGCAGGCAAGGCAGGACAATAAAGAACTGAGTTTGGGAGTAGAGCCCCGATGCCACCTGCTTCGATCCCCACCAATACGCGAGGGCATACACCAAGTTGCTGATGCTAAACGCCAATGCCAACCAGGCATTGCCATGTGCAATAGCTTTCATTGTGTCCCGGTATGGGCGGCGCAGGGCTCGGACGAACACTTCCTGAGATTGCTTCTCAAGGGAGAATGCTGCAACAGCACGAATGTTATCGACGGCCTCGACTGTGATGGCCGTGGCCTTGGCAAATGCCTTCTGATGCCGCTCAGTGAACTTGGCTTGAACGCGGAGCTTCATCATGCCTGCTATAAGTAGGACGGGTATGGTCGGAAACAAGACAATAGTGATTTTCCACGCGATAGCAAATGATATTACCAACCCTGCTACCAGGTTGACGGCTGTAGCAAGCAGGAGACCGATAGTCGATCCGGTGATCCCACTCAGAGAAGCAGCATCCCCAGTGATATAAGTGATCAAAGTTCCTGGAGTCCGGTCCTCCATACCATGCCATTGTATGGTCTGGCTCAGCAGCGATCTTAGCGACAGCACCCGGAGCCGATACAGAATCTTATCCGCTGCCCAGCCAAAGGCGCAGCCGCCCACCACATTTGCCGTAAGCTCGACCAGGGCAAGGATGAAGAAGAGCAACCCATAAAGGTTGCCACTATCACTGATGGCATCAGAAGATCTGCATGGGCTCAGACTGCCAACGGTGTGGCCAAACACAATCGCCTCGGCCGAGTAGCTACCTCCAATGATGACGGACATACAGAGCCCGAGGCAAATCAACGGCAGGTTGGCCCGCACCAGAGAGAACGTGTACTTGATGGTGAACCAGCCCGAACGCTTCCTCTTCTTTTCTTTGCTCCCATCACCATCTGTGGAACCAGAAGGTACCTCACCGCACACCGTGTCTTCAGTGATGTCTGAACCCCCAATGCCTACTAAGGCTTCCTTTTCGTCTGTCGGCTGCACACTCTCGTGAAGACTGCTGGTGGTAATCATATCGTGAGGGCTCTTCAAATCTTCAACGCTCAATTTACCCAGGTTTTGCAACCGTACCATTTCTGCGTACACGCCGCCCTGCGCCACGAGCTCCGCGTGAGATCCTTCCTCGGCGACACGTCCAGTCTGTACGACAACAATCTTGTGTGCATTTTTGGCAGTAGCTAGTCGATGTGCGATCGAGACTGTGGTCACCGTTTCGGATACCTTGGCCAGTGCAGCCTGGATAAGTTGTTCGCTGGTGGAATCCAAGGCAGCCGTAGCCTCGTCGAGAATAAGTAAACACGGTTCTCGCACCAGAGCACGAGCAAGAGCAATTCGCTGCTTCTGGCCTCCACTAAGCTGATTTCCTGCTGTTCCAACATGGGTTGCGAACCCGTGAGGCAAAGCATCGATGAAGTTTAACGCATTAGCGCTGGCGGCAGCCTCCCGGACGAGTTCTACAATCTCGGCAACACAACTGTCGAAGCCGGTAAGAGCATCGTTCTCGGACATGCCTTCCCTGATCTTTACAGCAAGTTCCGAAAGGCTTTCATCGAGAATGAACGGGGCGAGCCGTTGGTGCTTCTCTGCGGATGAAGCCACCAGGCCGTACGCGATATTCTCCAGAATTGTTCGATCCAACAGAGCAGGTTCTTGTTGAACGAAACCAATATTGCCTCGCAAATGTCGAACATTGAGATCTCGGAAACTCTTCCCTCCTATGGTCACATCGCCCGATGCAGGGTCATAGAACCGTTCTAGGAGGGAAACCACGGTGGATTTTCCACCACCAGAGGGTCCAACAATGGCGGTATGCTTCCTAGGTGGGATAACAAAACTCATTCCTCGGAGTACTGGAACGTCTGGTCGAGCCGGGTACGAAAAGTGAACATCATTAAACTCAATGTTCTCCTCCCCGAAGGCAGTCATCTTATCGCCGTCGTCTGCGGTCCCATCGATGGCAGAACGACGATTGATCACGGCCAGAAGTCGCTCCGAGGCACCGGCTGCTGACGCAAAAACATGGATAAAGGGGGCGACCTGACTCAGAATGAAGGAAGCATCGATGAGAACGAAAATGACAGTGTATACAGCACCCACAGATATACCTGAGTTGTCGTGGGCAACGGAGTTCGAGATCATCTGGGAACCTTCCCAGAAAGCCAAGGCGTTGGCTGAGTATGCAACAAAGTACAAGAATCCAAGCTGCGTAGCATGCGTACCTGCCTTTTTGAGCGCATCCATTGATGATCTGGAAAGATAAGTGGCAAACCGCTGCTCCAAGCGGTCGTTGGCATTGAAGGCATGAACCAAGGTCAGATGCGATAGACTGGACGAGGCAATTGACGTAGCGGCATTGATATTGGCTGTGATCCGGCTCGCATACTTTTTGATAAAGTGACCTCCAACCAGCGACATGAGGAGAAAGCAAGGCACCACTGATACCAGCATGCCCGCAATCTTTGGCGCCTTGATAAAAGCCACAATATAGGCGGTCACGAAGTATGAAATAGTGGAGATCACCAGGCCCACCTTCTCCGAGGTCCCCATTTGCACTGTCTCGATGTCACTGACCAACCGGGAGATCACATCGCCCGAAGGAAGTGACTCGATGAAATTCATGTCCTGCTTAATGATACTTTCAAAGTATCGCCTGCGATAACGGCGCGCCAGACGTTCGCTCACCAAGCACCAACATGACGTATAGATATAGATGATGAAGAAGTTCGCTATGGTGATGTAAATCACATAAAGAACCTCGGTGCGTACACTGGACGATAAACTTGACGAAGCGTTGTCCGAGGTGGAACAAGTGGTCGAATTGAGGTTGTTGATCAGGTTACCAAATACAATTCCGAGCAGAGGAAAGGGGATCCCTCCAGCTATCCCGAATATCACGCCGCATACAATAAGGAATACGTCGAATATCGTGTAATCCAAAGAAAAAAGAAGGTGTACGTAAGCGAAGAACTGCTTCAGGTGTGCTTTGGTTGGGATTAGTCCATGGAGAGATCGCATCTAAATGCGAAGAGAGGTTCACCCAAGTCAGTACCTGCTGCTCATCCCTCGAATGAGCGAATTGAACATGACATACCAAGCCATAGACACCATTGGAGTCTGCCCGCCCTTCAGACACTGGGTCTGGGTCTGCCATTGTAATTTATAGGTGTACGCAGTCTCGGTGGGAAGCGGCAGGGCAAGGTTCGAACAGGAAAGTATGAATCCTGTTATATGACAAGCCCTGTCGCGACTTCAAATTGCAGTCGCAATGTGTCAACGAAAGAGGCGCACGGGAATCCAGGGCGCTGGTGCTCCAGAGTCCCTCAATTGGAAGGGAATGAGTTGGAATCCCCGCAAAATGATCGACCGGCAATGAGGCAAGAGTGAACCGATACACTCAGACAGACGCCCCCCAAAAAGCATCCCCGCCAATGTCGACGATATTCTATTTGAATGAATGGTTCACCAGGTTTGGAGAAAGTGGAGGAAAGAAAAAAAAGAAGGGGGTCGAGAGTTTAAAGAGAGAACGAGTCCACCTAGGAAGAGAGGGAAAAAATAGAAAAGGAGCTAGCATAGTTCGTACAGAGCAGGAACACACTAAACTTCAAGACCCGAATTGCTCATCATTAATGCTCCGGTTGCGGCCCTTTGAAGAGCTAAGACTTGGGGCTGAGCTGCAGTTGACTCCATGGTGTGCTTGAGTCCAAAGGCCAGTCAGTGGAGGGGAAAGCCATGAGTAAGAGAAATCCGTTAACCCCCAAAGCATCCACCATCGGAAAAGAGGGTCCCGTTCCAGCTGGTGACTGAGCGGAGAAGATCAAACCTACGAAGGGAGAATTGTACCGAAGAAAGAGGTATGGATCGTCACTCGACAGGAAAGAGGAGAGACGAGGAACCGGACAGTGACCCAGTAACGACCTGATTTTCGCCCAGTGGACGCAAGTAAACTCAACAAGTACCTACTAGGTTGGTTAATTCTGCAGACAATCGATCCCAATACGATGTAATGTGGGTATGAGGAATTGCAGCAAATACCAGACTGCCGTTGTAAAGTCCACGGCTTTCATTGAGAAACGGCGAGGAAGATCAATCATTGGATGTTTTTGTTCAAGACGCAGTGGAGCCAAAGTGGGAGGCCAGTTCGGCGGTTCCTGGGATCTGTGTAACACTAAGGAAAAGTACTAACCGAGGCTATACTAGTCTACGTTGGCTAGTCACCTAACGCTTATGATCGTCTTTTAATCTAAAGAACCCACGAAAAAAGAAAGAAAAAATAAAATATATCAACTGGGGTGTACCGAGGACCGAGGGTACATTTCGAACTGTTCGGCAGCTAAACTGTGTCTTCCAACTACAACTACTACTCATAACTGAAAAGGCAGGTGCTCATCTTCAATGTTTATATAAACAACAAAAGCACCAAGAAAAGAAAAAAATTAGAATAAAGGGTCTCGTTGTGCGATATGCATGAATCAAACTCAACTGGAACTGAAAACGAGGCAACAAGCGCTAAGGATCTGGGCGTGGGACGTGGCTGGATGGATCGACATGTCGTCGGGCTCATCTGATAACTCTGTTGTCGAGGTTCGCTCCATTACCTGCAGACCCGCAGCCCAATCACCTGCCTATTTTGGTGCCGCCGCGGGAAATTTTTCTCATCTTCTGCCGTCTTCTTCCTTCTTCTCCTACCCTGCGGTGTACATCTTCATCTCTCTCTCACGAACTCTCACATGAAACCTTCATAGGTCGGTCCCCCCGTATAACACCATTTTATTTTTGGGTTACTTCATAGGTCAAATCCACAAATGCACATTGTGTATTGAATATCCACCCCCACCAGTATTATGACTCTTTCTGCCCCGCTCGGGCAGGCATGACCACTGCAAGTCTGCAACACTGTTGTTGTGTTACCCGTTCAACGCAGACCTGAAACAAGACAGCATTCCGCTGTAGCAGTCAAGTCCCGCGAACTCAATAACTATCATGTATCTATACCATAGCAATATAAGACTATAAGACACTACAATCCATTTAAATTGCACAAAACTCGCTACGCAGCGTTCCATGATTCTAGAATTAAGTAGCGTCCGTCCTATCCCAGAATAAGCAAAATACTAGCCAGAACTTATCCACAATGCCACTTCTGATGGGGTTTGCCGATGGAGTAGTCCAAGTTATCAGATGGCGCGGCGTGTTCCTCCCATTTCTCACTTAAGTAACCCCCATCCATCGGGCACCACCAGTAATTTCCGCTCGCACCTCCTGACTATTTACTTTGCACACTGGTCAGTTTTCTCGTTTCTATTTCTGATTCTAGGGGGCGGAAATATGACATAGTTCTATTCTGCTAGTGCGACTACGTACTCCGTAGTCAGCCTTGGTTCCAATTTCCTTTATCTAATCAGATCAATCAACAATTCCCCCCTGGGTCCGACTGGCAGTGTGCCCCTGCGGTTGGTGAATCTGATTAGATGCAGATCTGATTAGATAGTTCCTGCGTGTTTGACCCTCTGGGCATTCTCGCCCAGACGATCGACCAGAGTAATGTAAGGGACATGCGACAATCTGTGGTTGTGTTCAAGCATTCACTGTGATGTGTCGCCCGATCTGACGCGTAGCCGCGGATTCGCGTATCGTATTCTTACATCATATCCAACACGTCTATACTACCGTATTCACTTACCAACGATACGCACTTGCCTCAACGCGTGTGTGGTTGCTTCCTTTAGTAGAATCCGTCTTCGCCATTTCCTTCCCGATGAACAACTTACTACCCTGCTCATTGTCTATCTTCTCCCAGTCTATGCTTCTATCCATCTTCCCCTTCTACCATCTACTATGGCTTTTTTGATGGCCACCAAGTGACTGGTGACTCAGTTGAGTGAATTGATCTTTCTTTTCTACTAGATTGGACTGCATGGCTAATGTTTGCAAATTCCTTCTTAGGTCGCTGGTATGTTCCTATCATCTCCCCGGCGTGTTCTGGGGGCTTCACTCGGCACATTTGCCTGGGTACCCCTTCTCGCCTGATGGGACCCCCCACTGGAAGTGGGCGCCTACAGCCATTCTAGGTTGTATGGCTTGGGTCCCGGATACAACGGGGAGGCGCTGCCGCCACTTTCGCCAGGTTGCCTGCACACCGGCGTCCGCTCATGCCACACCGTGGGTCTCATGGAGACCTGCAAAGGCATTGGTGAAACGCTTTGTGTCTTTTGAAGCATCACTTTCAGTGTGTTTCTCAACTACTTGAGTTGAGAAACAGGGTTAGTGTGGCATATGAGCGGACGCCGGTTTGGCGGCAGCGCCTCCTAATTTTCCTTGGTGTATTTCGTCTGCTTTGGTTTGGGTTGTTGTTTGTTTCTTTATATGTCTTCTTCGAAACCCAAATTCCCGAAACTGAAAGCTTTCTACGAGAAAATGGAGCCAAAAGCAGTAGAACTGCTAGATGTGCTCAAAAACATGAACTTGGCGATCGATGCCAAGGTCAGTCAGCTGAATTCCATGAAATCGGACATAAAGCAGAAAAATGTCCCAGGGAACACGATTGCACTGATCTGGAAACATTTAGCGCCCTGCGCTGAACAAATGCAAGTACGGGCCCTGGACATTGAGAGTGAAGATAATCAAAGGACGCCTTTCTAACAATGCTGTCTGTCTTCTAGACTTCATTTCGACGTGACAGTGGGGAGCACCTGCATAGCTAGCATCTAAGATGGTGGGCTCGACCAGAGCAAAGAATAATGAAACAAAAACTGGAACTAGTCTTCTTACAAGAATACGCGAAGAGGAATCAAGAAAACGAAAGTATGCTCGATGCCCCAAAGGGGAAGTGCCCGCTCGCTGCATCTTCTTCTTTCTCTACAACCCTCTCATATACCACACACTCGTAACACACACCACTTCCCAAGAACATCTTTGCTTGCTCCTGTTGCTTCTTGCTCGTCAAAAAAAGTTTACAAAGTATCAAAAAAACCAGGAAATTGTTCTGTTGTTCTGTTGTTCTGTTCTGTTTCTATCATTCTGAGCTGTTTTTTGTCCCGTTGAGTACTGCTTCTGACAATGAAGTTCGGGTTCTGAAATTACCCTCGGCACGGAGGCGATCCGCTACGTCGCCGAATTCATGCTGCAAACAGGCTTGCTCGGGCAGTTCAGTCAGGTGGAACTTGATCCTGATCCTGATCCCGACCTAGGCCAGGAACACGTAGGCCTCAGGGCCATGGGGATAGGTGCTGAAGACGCTGGGTAGAAGGACCCACACACGCCCTGTTTGAGTCGACAGGGAAGGCCACGCATACCAAAAGGAACTCGCATGTTGGAAGCAGAGGTTGGACGAAGAACAGAGGGGATGGTGACTCGCAGGCAGCTGGTCAGCCAGCTGCGACACTCACTGGTTGTATATCTTGCTTTTTTCGCGTATATTTAGTTGTGTTTAGCTGCGGCGACGACCTTCCTACGTCGCAGCATGCTTTGCTTTACGTGTTTACTGCGAGTTTGAGGGATCTGACGGCGTTCAGGGCCATATTCCTGGTTCAAACGGTGAAGCACCTGCATAGCTAGCATCTTACTTAGCGGGCTCGATGAGGTATAAGAATAGGAATTGAATTGAATTGAATACCCTCGGCACGGCTGAGCTGACCTTTGTGGTTGTCTTTGTAGCGTTGTTTGGTGTCTATTGGCTGATCTTGTTTGCTGCTTGCTTCTTGCTTTTTGTCAGTTTTCTCTTTTAATTGACGCATGCATCCAGTGCAAAGATGGAACCGAAGGCTACCGAGTTGGCAGCAATCCAAGGCCATGACACCACATCTGCTTAGATGCAAATTCGCTTCTAGTGTCCCCATTTCTAGTGGAATTATTGGGGAGACCTTGCCCGTGTCTTCAAAAAGCCTGTTCATGTTACCTTCATCCAAATATGTACTGTCTCGCATCTCATATCTCCTCAACTCCTCAGGCTTCCTGCAAATTTCCTTTACTCTCCTTGTTGATGTTACTTTCTCAAAGTGCAGATGTGGCATTTCTGGTCAGTTTGATACCAACCTTTTTGTAGTAATATTTACCGCCCCTGTTTGTTTGCAAGATCATCTCGAACTTGCAAGGAGGCCTGTGTGCTTTTTTCCCTGGAGAGAAACCCTCTCTTTCTTGATTCCCCTCATTCTTCTTCATCATTATCTTCTTTCTCCTGTTTTGACCACCTTCTTTCTATACTGACCTGACCATATATAAATTCACAGATCTCTAAGGAGAAAATTTTTCTCCCACTCTGAAAACAACTTGCTGATGTTATCGGGCTGTTTGTAAGACCAACTTACAAGCGCCCGGGGTTTTACCCCGACGCTCGCCTCTTCTCTCCTCTTCTCTCCTCCTGGGTAACGCTGGTGGGGTACTATGACGAGGATTCCTTGGAGTCCCTTGGGGAGATGAGTGCGCAACTCAGTTTCTGCACAATGCACAATGATATCCATTAGAAATATTAATATGATCCATTGAGTCCTATCAATAACGGATTGGTTCCTAACAATAACGGATTGCCTCTAACAATAACGATGCTGACAAGAATGATGCTAATAATAGCGATGCTAATAATACAACACAGGGTGCGCCTCATTCACAACTGCTCCATAGCAATGAAATATAGAAGTAAGTTCCGAGTGTTCTCAGAGACCTGACCAATGATTTTCCAAAATTTCTCATCATCGGCAGTCATTGTATGCAAGTGTACACACAGCTGAGTCACTTTTTGCCGGATGTTCGCTTGCTCTGATGTTAAGAACTTGCTAGCAAGATCACCCAGCCTCTCCAGGACATCCATAGGGAAGCGAGCTGCACGAGAGGTCATCTGACGCAGGATATCCGTAAGAATGTTGAACACCATAAGAATGGCACGGTCGTTAAGCGACGCTTCCTCCGCAGAGACAACGTCCACAACAGCCTTAACAATGTCCCCAAACTCTGCCGCGCTCACCATCTCCTCCGCGGTCTCATTCAAAACGATCGCCATATAGCAAGTAGTGTCGTAGTTTTTTCTGGCTCTGATGATGGATTTGATTATACGAGATGCATATTCCCCCAACGACATCGTGGACCCACCATTGTCCACAAGTCGTTTCATGTGTCTGAATGTGTAACGCACTGTTATAAGCACCTGCGCTTTGGGGTCAAGCGGGCGCCCGAAGTATTGCTGCTTTTCGTCTGGTGCTCTCTCGAGTTCGCCTAAAAGGGCATCTAGGAGCTCGGAGTACTGTTCTTCGTCGTCAAAGAGCCTATCATGAAATTCAATTAGCCCCTGCAATTTGTGGTACCCATGAATGTCCATACTCTTAGAGTGAATCCTGGGGATTCCCTTCTCAAGAGTCTGTCTCGCTTTCATTGGGTCCTTGGAGCGGGGACTAATGCTTCGACGTCTCTCCTCGAAGCGTTTTTGTGCTGCCTCAAACTTAGGACAGCGATGCGTCGCCGTGTCGTTACTCGGTCCGGTAGAGGGACGTGTGCGCGGCACATGTAACGAAGGAAGACGTGGCATAGATGTCTGTGGTGACCTATTGTCACGATGGTCTGGCTCATTTTTCGACAGTTCCTCTAGAGCATTGTTTTTCGGTGCATCGCGAGGGACTGACGGAGTGGTAGGTGGTTTTGTCTCTTTCGGGACGGAGTTTTCATTGCCCTTCGCAACAGGGGACGATGGTTTGGGCAAAGGGATCTCGCGCAGTCTCAGAGGGTCTGTCACTACGATAGGATGGTGTACAACAGTGGAAGTTATGCTGACATTCCGCTCTGCGGCTTCATCCGCAATTTCATCGTTCTTTTCCTTCGTGTCTTCGTAAATGACGACCTGATTTGTCGCCTTCTCTACAGGTTCCTTCTGATCTGGCGTGGCCGGGCGCGTCGGCTCAAGCCGTCGGCTCTTCCCCATGGGCCGCATAGGTGCGGAGGACAAAGATGAGACCTGAGGAGCCGACTCAGGCCGTGGGGTCATAGCAGTTTTTGGTGCAAGGTGTGCCTTCTTCTGCGCTGCGATCGCCTGTTTCAATGCACTTCTTCCCGGAATAACGTTGGTGCTGCTTGTAGTGGCTTTCTGGGATGTTGTAGAAGATTTCGAAGCATGTCGGTCTGCACTTTGCATGTTGCCAGCAGCCGGGTTAGCTGGATCTTTCTCCAATAGCGACCGTGACTTGGAGTCAAGGTCCGACATGATACTGTAGTCCGTTAGCCAATTTATCCACCAAGGTCACAGAACAGCATAAAAGTGGAAACTCACAATTTGGCTTTCTGAGGCCAGACGCTGTGGTATGTCCAGAAAGTCTTCCTCATTGCCTCACGAACACCAGGATTAGCATCACCAAGACCTTTCTTAAGACTTCTCTCGATGAGCTCGATTCCACCGCCGTGTTCAATGGAGGACTTATGAGCAGCCTGTTTGTTGATGAGGGTGATGTACCATCCAGCTGAGAACAGACGCAACTGGACGTTTTTGTCTTGGGAAGCGGCGTAGACATGCTGGAGAATTCGATGAGTGTAAGACACATTTCCAATAACAATGTCAACGGTCAGATTCCCATTTTCGGCCGTTATTTTTTTCATACCGGCGCAGAGTTTGATGAGATTTTGCAGGATGATCTCCATCATCGGATCGATTCTAGGGCCACACTTTCGGGCGAGATCTTGAATGAGCAGACATCCATTTGTTCCCATAGTAGTTCGGAGAGAGTTCACGACTTTGAAAATGCCATCCAGAATCGACTTGATAGCAGCGACAAAAGTCTGAGAGTATGCATGGGGCGCATTACCATGCGTAAGTCGGCGTAAAGTAATGACACTCTTTTCACGATTCACCCAGTTATCTTCGGACTCACGTCCTTCGAAATATGGTGTCATTAGACGCACGAATTCATCAATTTCCCGAGCGGATGAAACAATGATTGGTTCCACATCGGAAGGAGTAGGCTCTACTGGCCGTGTGCCGAACTGACTAGCCGGTCTGACGAGAGTATCTTGAGTGACGGTGTCGACGCGAGAGGCCGGTCTCTGATCAATTCGCAAGGTTGGTTTCTGGTCAGCACGCGAGGCTGGTCTCTGGTCAACACGCGAGGCCGGTCTCTGCTCAACACGCGAGACTGGTTTCTGCTCAATACGTGAGGCCGTTTTCTGCTCAACACGCGAGACTGGTTTCTGCTCAACACGCGAGACTGGTTTCTGCTCATCACGCGAGGCCGGTTTCTGCTCAACACGCGAGATCGGTCCTTGTTCAATTCGCAAGGTTTGTCTCTGATCAACACGTGAGGCCGGTCTCTGATCAATACGTGAGGCCGGTCTCTGATCAACACGTGAGGCTGGTCTCTGATCAACACGTGAGACCGGTCTCTGGTCAATACGCGAGGCCGGTCGTGAAAGATGTTCAGATTCATCAGATTCAAGGCCAAGATTCGTCAGAATGATGCTGACAATAGACTTTCTGACATTGAGTTCACTCAATTGCTTTTTGAGATCTGCCTTCGCATGTGCGGGCGCATTTCTAAGTCAAGTTAGCGGCAGAGGCTCGAAGAGAAGGACCAACGAAACTTACTGGAACAGCTCGATAATGGTTGCCTTGGCTGTATCTCTGACAGCACTATCGGCGTCCTCGAGACATGCCACAAGACTAGGGACATACGGACGAAAGAGCAAGCCATATTGCTTAGCCATCTGCCAGCGGAGTTCGGTCAGCTTTGCTCAGGATCGATAGGAGTGAGACTTACATTAGCTAGCCAGATCATGCTCATTTCCCTAGCTCTGTTGTTTTTTCCGATAAGGGCCGTTCCCAGCACATGTTGTTCAACTTCATGGCTAGCTGCCGGCCAAAAGTCAGTGAACGCTTGGGCCGCCTGTGCTCTGACTCGCTCCTTATGATCGCCCAGGCGTTCCAAGAGCAACGGGTAAATGTTGCGAGCCTGCGAAGCAACTATACTATGCTGTTCCTGAATGAACAGTCGTTTCAAGAAGTGACCCATGGTGGAGAAACCAGCAGAGAGAAGTGTCGAGTGGGGAGAGGAAATTGACTGACGCAACGCATCAAAGATCGGTGCAATAGCGTTTTCCGGCACATTCTTCTGCTTGATGTCGGATTTCATTGAGTGAAGAAGACTGACCTTGGCATCAATTGCCAAGTTCATGTTTCGTAGAACCTCAAGCAGTTCGACTGCCTTCGGCTCCATCTTCTCGTACAATGCTTTCAGTTCAGGAATTTGAGTCTCGAAGAAGACATATAAACAAACAAACGACAGCCCAAACAAAAGCAGACGAAAGAAATCAAGAAAAATTAGTAGGCAAAGAAACAATGACAACTCCACAGTCCCCACCTTAACGTCGAAATGCAATCTGGAAGCCATTGTTAGAAAACGATTAAACAATTTTTTTCTTCTTTTCTTCTTTAAAAGGCAAAATCAAAGAAAACAGATGCGGTCTTGAAAGCGTGAGAGTGTTGAAGTTTGATTTGACAAAACGTGGTATGGGAGAGAAGTAGTAAACAGGTGTTGTAGAGAAGAAGAAGAGAAGAGAAGAGGGGGGAATCGGGGGAAGTCCATAAACCAACAACAACATGATGGCGCTGAGGAAAGTGCACATACCTGCTATATTGGGTAGTCGCGATGAGAAGGATGACGGAGAAGGCGGATGGGGGAGGCAGGTAGGGAGGGAGTTGTTACAATATGAGCTCTGATCTGGAAGGAGAAGGAGGATGAGGTAGCGACGAGGGTTGCAAAGTGACGCAGTGACGGGGAAACTTCTCAGCGCTTATCGCCGCGCCTGTTTCGCTTATCGGGCCGACGCGACTCCACCAGACTGGTTCACTTCGAAGGATGACAGCGAGGCGATCGGTATGTAGGGGTATATATCAAAGTGCAGAGTGTTACAGAATAGTAATGCATGGAAAGATGTGGGTGGTTTGGTTTCGTTGGATGATCGCAAAAATGAGGGGTGGTCGATGATCGGGCGGCGCGCTGTCCCTGAATCTTCTTTTTTTATTTTTTTTTCTCTCTTCGCTTTGTTTACCCGCAATGATTCACCCCGTTTTGGGTAAACAAGTGGGGGAACTGGAACTTTTTCGTCTGCAGCCACGAATTGATTGTTGTTATGGCAGCTGCCCAACTTGTTGTTGACGAACTGGAGTTCTGCTTTAAGTAAATTATGGTTATTTTGAGTCTCATTAATACTATGATTTTATGTTCTTCCCCCTTTTTTTTTCTTCTTCTTCTTCATCTGCCCTGATTCTTGGTTCTCCGCCGCACTACGCGTAGTACTACTAGTATGCCTCTCATCTACCCCTATTTTCCTTTCTCCTCTTATTTTTACTTAAGGAAGGTGTGGGTGACCTCTTAACTAAAGGTGGACCGTGGGGATAGACTCGTTTTCGGATGCAGTCTTATCGATAGTTAACTCCACGGCCAAGACAGCTCTCCAACCTCGCATACATGATACTAGTACGTTCTATTAGATTCGAGAATAGCAGTAGACTGTTCTTTATGACTGGTAATTTGAAATATCACATCAGATTCGGAATAAAAAGCGCGCTGAACGGTACTAATAACTCTACGCGACCGAGCCTGAAACTGCGCCTAAGTACGTGTTCCTTTTGCTCTTCCCTTTTCCCCCTGAAAATATATAATCACAACTACTAGTAGTAATAGTAAACACCCGCAGCCCGAGCAACCAAACACTGAAGGTGAGTCATCAATGATTACTGTACCATTACTACTACTTACCAACTATACCCAGCGCAGAGTCTACAGATACTCTTGAGACCACAATAATCATACAATCCAGAACAATGAATAGTATTAAATAGGTTAAATCCTGCTTTTGAAACTAATCACATACCACAGCCAGTCACACTGCAAGTGGATTTAAATTAGACTGCAGTAACTCCACCCGATCGCCGCGCCGCGCGGTGGATCACTCCAAAAAAGACGGCGGGCACTTGGACCAGCCTCGGTGTGTCACAGCGCGCGCACGCAAGCGCGATGCAACAAGCGAACCTGACGGTCGGTGGAGGGGCTGCTCGCGTCAAGCATCGATTGATCAACTTTAATTCGGGTTTCTTTACTGCGATGAATTGTCCATAGTCTGGTCTGCGCTTGATTGGGTGAGCTTCCGCGACCCCTGCGGCGGCTATGCTGCATGCGCTACTGACTAGTAGACGACGCCATGCTTCAAGCCTTCAACCTTGCTATAAGCGACGTAGTAATCCGTCTTAGATCAGTTCTACTACATTTCTATCTCCTCTTCATTCTATAGATAATTCATACACTACTACTAGTTATACAACACCCATTGAATAATGTCAACCTCCACACCCCAAGCTACACCCTCACCCTCACCACTTCCACCGCAACAACCACCACCTTCATCTTCATCACCCAGTTCCAACTCCAACCCACTTCGCCCTCAAGACCAGCCTACTACCCCCCAACCCACCCTCCGCCTCCAAATCAACGACCTCCGCCACCCAGCCTCAAAGACCTTCCTAACCCTCCTCCCGGACCTAACCACCACGCTCACCACCGCCCTCACAACCATAATCGAGCACCTATACACCCCTCCCCAACAAGAACAATCAACATTCCACCCCTCCCCACCCCCAACCCGCTCCATAACGCTCCTCCTCCGCGCCACCTCCGGCGTAGCCTACACAACGGGCACCGAGCTAGACAACGACCACAAAGAAATCCACCTATCGCTATCCTTCATCGAAACCATCACCACCAACGGCAACAATTCCAACCCTACTGCCGAACTAACCGGCGTGCTCACCCACGAACTCGTCCACTGCTACCAGCACACCGCGCCCCCAGATTCTCCTCCTAACACCCCCCACCCCCCCGGCGGCCTCATCGAAGGAATCGCGGACTTTGTGCGCCTGAAAGCGGGCCTGGAACCGCCGCATTGGAAGCGGCCTGCGTCGGCGAAGGAGAGAGCGGACAAGTGGGATGAAGGATATCAGCATACGGCGTACTTTTTGGCTTGGTTGGAGGATGTTAAGGTGGGTAAGGGGGCTGTCGGGATGTTGAATGATCGGTTGTTGAGAGTGGGTTATGTGGATGGGTTCTGGGAGGGGCTGTTTGGGTTGGGGGTTTTGGAGCTTTGGGAGGAGTATGGGGGGTGGTTGGATGGGGGTGGTGGTGGTGGTGGTGGTGGGTGTTGGGAGGATGAGATTGTTGATCGGGTGTAATGGGTATTATTACTAGTAACTGCTGGTAGTGCTTTGGAGTAGGCTGAGTTATGGTGTGGGATGGTGATGGTTGAATGGCGTCAGAGTTACTACCTATTAGGTGCTGTCGACGGTGTCATGCTTGTCCGTTGTGCGCAAGGTCCATTGATTCAGTAAAGTACATACCTCTATATACGTACTTCTCGTCTAGAGTAACTGTCTGTAAACAGCGTCATCCCAAGTCCATCTCTAGCCAGTCTTCAAAAGATGCAATACAAAAGAATAGCGTTTAAATCGGATAACATGAACATAGAAATAACATCAGAAGAAAAAAGAAAAAATAGATTTCCCATATTGTACAAATCCTTGCAATGGTGAATAGATGAGGGGGTAGCAGTATGTAATGTTGCATCGCTGTCAATCCCGCATTGACAACATCTATAACAGATATAATGTGTGACGCCGTTTCTTCAAATCTCTCATGCTCACTCCTACACAATCACCTCGCCCAAGTCCACGTGCACCGGCTTCCAGGGAGCGGCTCCCTCTTCCTCCATCGAACTAGGCACACGCACGTTCAGCGGACTGTACAGGTACCATCCCTTCAGGGCGGCGACGGCAGCCCTGGAACGAGCCTCGAGCAGACTGGCGCCAGCGCCCTCGCCCAACTTATCCTGACCAGAGTAGATGCCAACGACGAACACGGGGTGTCGGCTCTTGCGACCGGTTTCACTGATGATCCGAGCAACGGGCTGCTCGAAGTTCTCCCGAGCACACAGGCGGGCAAGATCCCGAGCGGGTTGGGAGAAGTTGAACAGGTCGGAGATGTTGAGGTGACGAGAGAGGAAGTGCTGCTCAAAGAATCGCTTGGCAGCAGGGCGGCCTGCGTGCAGGTAGATAGCACCCATAACAGCACGCACAAAGGTTGCGTTAGCCTGTTCGGCAGTCACGCCCTGGGTGTTCTGGGCGTCCTGTTTAGACTGTTCCGAGGGATCCTTGGGCCCCTTGACTGGATCTCCGAACTCATTGTCATAGACAACACTTGATGTGATCGACTTCCGCCAATGTGTCTGATCTTCGTGAGGTCTCGCCGTGCCAGTGACAGGCTTCGAGTGCACATCAACTCCCGGGAGGACTCTGTTGAACTGCAGGTAGCCGGGGTCAACTTCTCCACCAGGAGCAGCAGCGGACTCCACACCCCATTCTCTCGCCATTGCGGCCAATGTCTTGGGCCCGACATACGCATACATGGCTGCGAATATAACGGTCAAGGGGAGTCGGGGATACGTGCAGATGAGGTATTCGGAGGTGTAGTGTGTCAACAAATCGTGACCAAGGGTGGCCAGAGATTCATTGTTGAATTTGGGGTTGGGATCAGCCGAGGCGTCCACGAGAGAGCGAGCAAGGGTCTCGAGGGGTAATCGTGAAGGAAGGTAAAGTCGTGCGTGAAGCGCAGCCAGTTTGGCGGACTCGCGTGCGGCCTCGACCGGGGGAGACGGGAGTTGGTACTTCGACTGTCGGGAGGTAGGGGGGCGAATAGATGATGCTAGAGGGTCTTCCTCGAGCAATTGATCATTGGCAGCCGGCGCAGCAGGCGAAGCGGTCGATTGATGCCGGATGCCAGTGTAGAGACGGTGCTGCAGGCGGCCACCAGTCCGGGCCTGCGCCGAAAGGACCGAACTGCTCCATCGTTGGAGCTGCAGCCTCTTCATCTGGGCAACTGTGTGGGTGTTGGGCCGTAAATTAGAAAAAGACCGAAATCAACTGTAATGACCGCCCGGGGACGTGGCGTGGAGTGTTCAAGACGGGGGCAGATCCAACTTGAGCCGGCACGAACTTTTGGTCGGTAGAGAAAAGTCGAGCTTCGGAGAAAGTCACGGGGTCTGGCGGTCGTGTGAGAATCGGCCAGGTGGCGCTAAACCAAATACGGATATAGCGTCACGGGGTCTGGGACGAGGGACGAACGACGGCCATTTCGGCTTCCAACCCGCTCAGAATAACGACGAGCTTCTCAGCGAGCCATTGTCCACGTCTTTTCCCTACGTTCATTCTAGATACCCTCAATACACCATGGGTGGAGGCGGCAAGATCCCGTATGCGACTCTTCTCCCACCTGGGACCACCATTGCATTTGAGATTGACTGAATTATTTCCGCAGGTATCCCAAGGAAGTCTGGTCTCCCGCGGGTGGCTGGTACGCTCAGCCCGCAAACTGGAGGGTCAACACGGCCATCATTGGCGCCGCTGTCCTTGGAGTTGTCGCTGTGACCTGGAGCATCAGTGCCGACCGTGAGCACCGTGACAAGATGCCCGAACCCGGCAGATTCTTCCCCAGTCGCTAGTCAGTCCCCTCAGCCAATCTCGTGTCATGTGTTTCTAAGCAGCAGTCATTGACTTTATATTGCTTCTATCTAGCTGGAGCCGGGAAATCAGAGAACACGAAAAGCAGCTGGCCGCCCAGAACCGGTCATAGAGCGGCAACAGGATGAAGAGGTAGTTGTGGGAAAATGAGTACCTGTGGTGGTTTTCTATGGCATGCCAGGTTTTGTTTCATAATTTTGTGGGCTGTACGACAATAGAAGGGCGTTCTTCCATACGGTCAGTTGATCTGAAAGTGCTTCTGAGGAGACTCTTCCAATGTTCGATACAAGCGCTGTGTGTACAGACGGACCCGTTCCGTGAACTCAGTCTCGTTCCAAAGCTCCTTTCCATCACTGGATGTAGACATGCGAGGCACTCCAATCTGCTCCACCACGAAGCTGGCCGCCACAGTAGCAAAAATCAAGGCCGTCAAGACCTGGCTATGCTGTGCAGCAGCTTGCACTGCTTCCCGCCATGCTGTAGATCCTGCGAGGACCGAGTCGACAAGATTGGCTGGTTTTCTGCCTGCACTCACCATGCCCTGTGTCAGGGCACCTAGAAAAGAATTGCCTGCGCCAGTGGGGTCAACTACCGCCGACGCCCCTGAAGCACTGGGCTGATGGTAGGCGGGCAGCCAGACCCTCTGGGATCTAGAGTAAGAGTAGCTGCCGTCTTTACCGGCTCTGATAACCAAATGCCCGTTCCCATCAGGACCAATACCTGACTCAAGGATCTTCTTGACGATGTTCTTCCCATAGTCGGTGTCCTCGCTCCAACCAGGCTGACCAAACATCATTCCGAGTTCCAGTTCGTTGGGGCTCACAACATCTACAACTTGGTTTGCCGCAAGGAACCGCTCTTGCTCTTCTGGCGTGCATAGATCCGGCACAGGTTCCCAAACGAAGATAGGTCTTTTCGCAGCGTGCTCCACTGGGGGAGCTTTGCCTGCTCGCTGTAGCTCCTCCCGTCTGCGCAAGATTGTTTGTACAATTGAAATACAACGCGAGGAGGAGCAGACCATGTGGAAGGTCTTGGAGAACACCTGAGCATCAGACAGCATTTCTGGTTCCAGGCGCAACTTTGGGGTCAGGTATTTGAAGTCTGCGACAAATTAGTATTTGTGTCGTTAGAGCTGCAGATTCTAAGGATCGATACCTCGCTTCTCATTCGGACCGTAACCATTCCAGGCCCTGGTTGTCAAACGACTTTGGTCCTCCCGGAATACACAGTTTGTATCCCACGACTTGAGCAGATCGAGAACATCTGGAGGGAAGTCGAAGCCAACATCCACAATCCAGCTCACAGCCTGCGAATGTTTTCTTCCGGTCACCAAGCGGGCACCAACGACGGCAAATGATGCTGCGCCTCCTAGGACATTTTTTACATTGGGTCTTGATCCATCGAAGTCTATATCGTCTATATCACAGGAAAGGGGGGTTCCGTAAGTACATAGTGCGATTTTGACTGCGAATGGGTAGATCATGGCGTACCAAGAATGAACATGCCCATTGTGCAGAAGTCCACATTGTCTCTAGAGTGCTCCGAGGAGCCATGGCCTTCCAACATGGTTACGGAAGCGCTCGATTACCTTGAAGGGAGAAAGACTGGTGAGATATTGTACTCTGGCGGGGTTCGAGGGATTCAATCTAATCCGCCGCTTGAGTCTCCGTCATGGCGGCCTTATCGGATTACCGGCTGATACCACCAACGTCATGGGAGACGGGCGGATAACAGCCACGCTGGCGTACCGTATGGTATGACCCACTATCAGGAGCTCCAGGCCTCAGGCACGGGTCAGGAGCATCGCCGTCTCATGCAATTCCAACGGCTGCCTTGATCTTCTCCCTCCTCAGCATCTTCATTTTTCTGCCTACAGGTCGCTACTGACCCTTCTTCTATCTCTCAATCGTGGCACACGGTAGCCCGTGCCCCTTAATAGCTCCCTTTGTCCTCCTTTACTCCGACTGTCATCAATAGCTCCCTCCCTCCTTACTTCGACAGGGGCGTCAAGATGGCGACAGGAAGCCACATGCATAATCTCACCACCCTTATCAAGCGGTAAGCCTTGAATCAGATGCGCTTGGAACCTCAGCGCTCTGCTCTCTTCTATTCTTTTATATATCCCTCTATCAGTACCATATGCGTCCGATTACATGTGTTTCTAACCAGCTGGAAATGCCAACAGGTTGGAAGCCGCGACCTCCCGCTTGGAGGATATGGCTATGTCACTGGATGACCCCAACTCGCCCAAGACCATAGCCCCCCCTGCTGTGCCTGAAGCTGCTACTCCTGAGCCTCCCAAGTCAGCTCCCGCTGCGGCACCCGCGCCGCCTCCCATCCCGCCGCAAATCCAGGACTTTGACACCCTGATTAACGAGGATGTCCGAAACTTTGTGGAACTGGGCCAGAAGATCAATGGCTTGGTCGGAGAACAGGTAAGAGAGAAAGCGCATGTTCTGCTGAGTGCATCGCTCACAATTTCCGCAGTCCAAGGTAGTCCTTCAAGCCTTCGAAGCCGAGCGCACCTACCTCCTTGTGTCCACGAAAGCTAGAAAGCCCGAGCAGCAGCCCCCGGAGCTCATGACGGGCCTCCACAATGCTTCGGACAGCATCAACAACATTCGCGAGTCGAACAGAGCTTCTCCTCTCTTCAACCACTTCAGCGCAGTCGCGGAGGGTATTGTTGCCCTGGGCTGGTTTTTCGCAGACAAGCCCGCCGATTTTGTCACTGAAATGGCTGGAGGTGTCGAATACTACGGAAACAAGGTCCTGAAGGAATACAAGGAGAAGTGCGCCGCCTAAACAACCTGTGTAATCCCAAATGGAGCTGACCCATGTTGCAGGGACCGTACCCACGTCCAGTACATCCAGGCCTACTACCAGATCTACAAGTCCCTCGCCGCATACCTGAAGAAGCACTACCCTAAGGGCCTGACCTGGAACGACAAGGATGGAATCGACGCTCAAGAAGCTCTTAGACAGGTCAAGGCCGGTAGCTCTGGCCCTGCCGCCGGCGGTGCTGCTCCTCCTCCCCCGCCACCCCCTCCAGTTCCGACTCTGAACGTTCCTGGCGGTGTTCCTCCCCCTCCTCCCCCGCCGCCCGGCGTTCCTCCTCCGCCAGCAGCAGCCCCAGCTGCACCAGATATGTCAGCTGTCTTCGACCAGCTGAACCAAGGTGAAGCCGTCACCGCTGGTCTTCGGAAGGTCGACAAATCCCAGATGACGCACAAGAACCCCAACCTTCGCGCCAGCTCCATGGTTCCCGATAGCCCAACCTCCGGAGGCAGCGCCGTTCGGGGCAAGTCGCCCGCGCCGAGCAAGAAACCCAAGCCGGAGAGCATGCGCGCTCGCAAGCCGCCGCGCAAGGATCTGGAGGGCAGCAAATGGTTCATCGAGAACTTCGACAACCCCGGCGAGATCGTTGAGATCAACGCGCAGCAGAACCACTCTATCCTCATCTCGCGCTGCAACAAGACGATCTTCAAGATCAACAACAAGGCCAACGCCATCTCCATCGACAACTGCACCGGCCTCTCCCTCATCGTCGACTCGCTCGTCAGCAGCCTTGACGTCATCAAGTCCCCCAAGTTCGCCCTCCAAATAGACGGTGTCGTCCCCACCCTCCTCCTGGACCAGGTCGATGGCGCTACCGTCTACCTGGGCCAGCAGAGCCTGGCCACCGAGGTCTTCTCCAGCAAGTGCACTGCAGTCAACATCATGCTGCCCCCTAAGGAGGGAACCGACGAGGATACCAAGGAGTGCCCCATTCCCGAGCAGATCAAGACATACGTGAAGAACGGCGTTCTGGTCAACGAGATCGTTGAGCACGCTGGTTAGATTTGCCTAGTGGATAAAGACTGCATATACATGTAGAATCTTGGATATTACTTACCCCCCCATCTCCGACAACAACAACAACAACAGCAACAACCACAACCTATTACTCCCTTACCACCCAAAATGGAGGCGATAATATGCGGCAGTTGGAAACCAACTTCTTGGAACTTCAGTGCTGTGTTTTATTCTACTCAATCTCTGTAGATAAAATCTATATTTTTCCGTTCAATCTTATCTTCCGCTATTTCTATGTAGGACGTGTTAGGACGTGTATAGAAACAGGAAGAGCCTCAGGTGTCACCTTCCCCTTTCCCCACTCCATCCACCCCCGGCATAGATGAACTACACAACACAATACTTGGTGTGATAATAAGAGACGTAGAAGAGGAGATAATCCGATTACCGTACATCAAACCTACAGTAACTATGTGACATATGTTATATAACATCCACAAGCGTAGTGCAGACTGAATCAAGACGAAACAGAAAGTAAAAACAGAAATTGTTTCCGTATTAGATGTGTCCCCCCCCCCCGCCGCCCAACCAACCCCGAGAACAATTACAAGACTGCATGACACTGCTATTCCGACAATAGAATAGAACAAAGAGGGAGGGAGATTATTGCTGCTGAACGCACAGTCCGCATCGGTTGTTTAACTAGTGTTCGATCGACATCAGGAAGAATTGAAGGTATCGGCTAAAGAAAGAGAGATAAAGGGAGGAAAGACTTGTTCAAAATATCTAAAGTAGTGGAATATGTAAAGAAGAGAGAAAGGGTGACATGTTGAGGTGGGTATATTTGCTAGTTCCCGTACTGTAATGGTTGTCCTGTGCGCCTTGCCGTGCGTATTTATTTTTAGGGAAACGGCAGGATGGCCAATTATAATGGATGAGATGATCCTGCATCTGCGCTTAAGAGGTATAGTGCTGTGCTGTTAGCTGAGGGAAGACGTGGGGTTGTCCCGCTGTGCTGTGTCGGCCTTCTTGAGGAGAAGGTTGAATACTTGAACGAGGTGTACAAAAGAAGTGAAGAAGAGGAAGCAGAAATGAAAAAAAAAGAGGTTACCATCACGATACGGTCAAGTCATGCTGGCTGGAAGCGTGCCGGCGTTATTCACAGGACTTCTGGGGGTCAGGAGAGTCGTGCTTGTGCACGTCCAAACCCCTCAGCTTCCTGGCAAGGAGGCTGTCACCAGCTTCGGAACCGTTGAAAGCGAACGGATACCCGCCATAGCCGATCTCACCCTTACCGAGTTTACCATAGAGCCCACGCTCCGTATTACACTGTTCCGCAAAACTTGAGTCGAGTTTGGGCCCTGGAGACAGTGACGGAATAGGCCGGAAAGGATGTGAGGAAGGCTGGGGAGGACTGAAGAGGCTGGAGGTGCCTCGCGGGGCACCTTCTCGGTCTGCAAGTGTACGGTCTGAGAACGGGTCCTCTGGAGCACACGTGGAGGAGCTCCCGGGGTAGGGGGGCTCTCGTGAGGTCATAGCCCCCGATGGACTCAGCATCGATGACTCTCGATCAGTGGGTGCTTTGTGTGGCATCTGGTCTGTTGATGGCCGTGCAGCTGCGTGTGTATGACTGGAGTCCCGCGAGGGTTTGTAAGGCGTGTAACGGGGATCAGGGCATTGAATTTCATTGCGAAGCTTTTCCTTACCGTCGGGAACTCTGTTGGCAAATACAACACGAATGCTAGAGTGAAGATAAAATCGGCCCCGAGAAGGACAACATATGTTTAGATGGATCAAGTACCGTAGAGTTGGCTTATCTTTGGGATCCTCCGAAGCGTTTAGTGACGCTTCAGGACGATCGGTTCCATAGTTCTTTCGAGCGCTCAAAGGCATATCAATGATGGGACCCACCGAATAGCTTCGTTGTCGGATGAATGTCTTTGTCCCCGGCTCCATATCGCTGAGGTCATAGGGCACGAGGAACAGCTTCACCGCTGTTTTGTTGGGGTTCTTGATCATGATCTGCAACTGACCGTGTTGTGGAATTCGGTAACAACCACCCGGTGGACTTTTGGGTGATTCCGCCCTCCTATGCCTTTTCTCGCACCTGCGCAAAGTTTCCTGATCGGTTGACTTAGGTTCTGTGGTATTTCCCATGACACAGTCACTGTGTGTTCCTGCAGGGCTCTGATGGCGCCTGCGACGTCGACTGCTACCACTGGACGTGTCCCGAGGAAGGAAATTGTCCAAGTCTATCAGGCCAACATAAGGGCTGGGGCTATCGTCCGCGATTGAGCGGCCACTGCCTGATGTAGGGTAGCTGTAAAACACCGCCGGGAATGGGATTGTCACGTGCGGTGGGCATTTGAGGTTGGCTTTGCATTTGCCTTTACCGAGGACGCCAATTTGCGCGGTGAAGTCCAAGGGCTTGGAAGGGCTCATTGACATTCTTCCACGGAGGATAGACTCCTCGTATGAGCCAACCATTGGCGCATGTGCTCTGGAAGAGACTTCTGAGCCCACTGAGGGCCTTCGGACCCTCGTGATCGGAGTTTGGACCGAGGATGCAAGCTGAAGGCTGTATGTTGAAGTCAGGGACCGCCGAGGGGATTGAAGATGATAAGATGTTGTCGTGTCCCATGGTGTGCGGTGAGCATCAGCCTGGAAGTAGATCCCCTCTGCATGGCCCCCATGCGATGCCTGCAAGTGCTGGAATGTTTCCGGTGGAAGGGTACGGCGACGACTGACTTTGTCGATGGCGTCCGAATGACCAACGTACTCCGGCCGAGGAGAGAAGTCCAGGTCTGTATTATTCGCCTGGTGAACGAGAGGGCTCGTCGGGGCTTTCAATATGTAGCTCGAAGAGAACGAGCCGAGAGAGGGAGCCCGGGAGCGGGCTGCCGGGGTTGCTGTCTGAACTGATAGAGATTGGCCTCGTAAAGAGGCAGGGAAAACGGGAGTACTGAACCAAGGCGTCGTCGGGGAGGAACTCAGTAGTGAAAAATGTGCGTTGACGGTGCGACCAGGCACCGGGGATGACGGTGGGTGTTGCTGACTCTGGACTTGAGAGCTTCCTTCCCTAAAGTCTCCTGAATGTAAAGCTGAGCGAGGGCGTTCAATATCGGCCGGCGATGCTAACTGCTGATCACTCGAGTCGGACTGGTCGCTAGGACCAGCATTTACAGGTGCTTTGTCTTTCATATTGGCGGAAGATACATCGGATGTCTGAGAGGTAGGGTTCGGACTGCTTCCCGACTATAACGAATGAATGGGTTAGCAAGGTCTCGGATACATGACAATAGAGCTTCTGCTGTTCTGGGTAAGATAGAACAAAGGAAAAGAAGAACCCGAGACAATAAGTGGGCTCTACAGTGGCAGGACATACGGAATGATGTGATGCCCATCGAGGCGCATCGGCGCTTTTAATATACTGGATCGGTTCCTCGCGATTTGTTGCATGCATTCCCGCCCGGCTTTGATCCGGAGAGGGGCCTTCGTATGGGACATTTTGAGGCCCTGTGAGGGGGTGGCTGCCCAGGGGCTCCCCAGGAGGATGTTTCCAGGGGGAGATGGTCTGACGTCGAGCATTAAGCCGTGGCTGGTGATCATCAGACCACACATCCTGGAGCCGCTGGTGTTCCGGATCCTGGAAGATGGGCATGGTCACCGGGAGAGGGGATGGGCAGAATGACGCGAAAAGAGGGCAAACATCGCAACCTCAGGAGCAGAGAGATCAGGGAGACGGACAACGAGGACCCTGATAACGCAAGAGGGAGGGGATTGCAGAGGTTGCGATGATCCGCAGAAACCGAAGTGGCGGAAGAGGAAGAGTCACGGTGGAGTCGACGATGACTTGATCTGCCTTTTGAAGAATGGCTCCGAGTGGGTAAAGTCGTTTCGGGGCGTGGGGAACCAGAGGAAGAGAAGATGGGAGAAGGTATATATATTTATATTTAGTATAGACGATAAGATAGCAAGACTGACCGGAAATTAATGAGCGATGGAATTTAACAGGACATCTGAAACGACTAGAGAATCAATCGGGCGCGAGTCAAGAGAATAAAGACCAAGAAAGCAGACGTGAGGGGGGGAGAAATGCGGAAAGAGGAGAAGAAAGAAAAAAGAGCCAGAAGATGCGGAGGCAACGCTTTCGATTCCATCATCCTGCCCAACTCTGTATTTCCCTCTCCGATTTCCCTTTCCCCTCCATTGTAACCCTACACCTGCAGAATTATTCCCTGCAATCCTCCTGATTATTGCAATAAAATCCCGCCATTCCCGGTGGAGACAACGCAGCTTTGCTTGGGAACATCCTGCAAGAGCAGCCCATCACCCGCTAAACTCGAGTTCCTGCACCCGCTCGGCCTCTGCCGTCCAAAACTTTTTTTCTTTTCTCTCTTCTGCAGCAATAAAAAAAAAAGGTCAACGAACAACACATCGCACCCCCGCCACGTTGTCGCTTGATTAGTTTCCTGCCCAATACACCGCTCCTTACATCCCGCGATCGGAGTCGAATTCCAAGAAAAAAAGAATAAAGAAAAGAAAAGCAAAGCAAGACAACCATTTCAAGTCCCAACCAACCATGGCCCCGAAACGCTCCCGCGACGATACCACCACCGCCGACGAGAAGCGGGAAACCACCAACGATGCCCCCGTGAAGAAGAGAAAGGGTTTCAGCGTCGGCCCTGCAAATCTCCCAGATGGAACATACCGTCGCAAGAGTGAGTTTTTTTTTTCCTTTTCTTCTTCCTTACCCCTCACGACAGTCTAGAACCGTGAAAGCTAACAGAAGATAAACCAAATATAGCCCAGAAAATTAAAAACGACCTAATTCAAAAAGCCAAAGTCAAAAAGGCCTACGCCAAAGTTCGCGCCGCCGAGCTTGCCGCCGCTCCATCTAGACCCATCTACACCGACGATGCCCAAGATCAAGACGAGGAGAGCAAGCGCGCGGACCCGGCCCCGGCGTCGTTGGAACTTCACCCGGACCGGCAGGCTATGCTAGACCAGCCGGCGCCGGAGCCCGAACCTACTCCTGCTGGTAGACCGCAGCGTGGGGAGAAGCGCAATGCGAAGGGCCGTCGTGAAAGAAAGCCCAAGCCCTCTGCATTTGCTCGAGAGATGGAAATTGCGGAGAAGCGGAGGAAGGAGGCGGAGAAGCGTAGGGAGGAGCGCGAGTTCAGGCAGAAGGATCGCGAAGCGATGGCGCGCGCAAAACGGCCGGATCAGGCTGGGAAGAGGAGATTGGGGAGGGAGAGTAAGGTGTTGTTGGGTCGGGTGGAACGGTTGGTTGGGAAGGCATGAGATGATGATGATGCATGGCAGGGCAGTTTCAATGTTGATTTGATTGCGAAGGTGTTCAAAAGTTTGAATATGATACCCACTAGGTAATGACTACATTCTTTTATCTTCTTTATAAGGATTAGGCTGCTACTACTTTCAAGATGGCTTGTATATTTCTCATGTGAGGATGAAGGGTGGGATCGATCTAGGCGGATGGTTTTTGCCCGTTGCCGCTCCGCGGCTTTCGGAAGCATGCAAACTCTCCTTTGGTTCTCTCTCTCAAGCGCTTCAGGATGCCTCTCATTTCTCCCAGCTCAGACTGAAGCCGTGCGCGTGCCTCGTGAGTGGTCCGTCGATCCAGCTCAACATAAATCTGACTTTGTATCGCGGATGCTTCGTCGGTCGAGAACTGCGACATAGTCTGCGCGATGAATTCGGTGTCCAGAGTGGCCTGCATGAGGGCTGGCAGAGTGTACGAGGATCGAGAACTAAAGGCGTTCAGAAGCGATGTCGACACCTGGGTCAGCAAATACGTCAGGACGACGGAGAGCAAAGAAGATTGGGCGGCGGATGAGGAGCGGCTTGGCACGGCCGTCAACGTCGAAGGGATGGTGGTGGTAATTTCCGTGTGTACGAGCACCAGGTCCAGCATGGTAGTGTAGACGTATGGACGGACCTGATCCGGGCGGGACGATGCCGGTTCCCAGTCGGGGGCAGTGATGCTGTTGACAATCGTCGTGTTCAGCGCGTTGATGGTCGGCTTAGTGTAGGACTGGAACAAGCGATCGTCGATCTGGTTGAGCACATCGCGGACGGTCTTGGCCTCCTCAGTCAACCGGACCGAGAACGAGTTCTCAAAGTTGGCGACCAGCTGCGGAACGAGATCGGCCTGGAATGCCTTGATGTTTGACAAAGTCAAGAGGATGCGCACATTCTGTAGACGCATTAGCCAAGGAACTAGCAGAAGACTGGCGTGTTAAGAATCGATGTTCTACTTACTCTATTCCGAGAATCGACCGCATCCGCAATGAGTAGCGACGGAGATGTATCAAACTGGCTTCGTGTCGCCGTTGAGCCAGCTGCGATCCACTCATCCTCATCCTCCGACGATGTAGGATGTTCCGCATTCTCAACCAGGCCACTCAGCGCCTTATAGACACTAGACACAAATTGGGTGCGAACCATCTGTAGTAGTTTGGCAGGGGGCTGGGTCACAACGTCGACGGAACCAGATCTTGCCATAGCCTCAGGGATGTAGAGGATCTTCTGCATACCCGCGATAATTGCGTTCTCAAAGGCAACAAACAGACCAGGCATCTTGGTCAAGTCTCTCTTTTCCGGGTCTCGAGTCCAGTCCTCCAACATCTTGCAAATTTCCGCATCCTTCCCCCAAGCTGCGCATGCCACACGGACTGAGCGTTCGCGTGCCACACTCACAAGGGATTTGAGAAGATCACGGGTGTTGGTACTATGCACCACAGGCTCCAAGGCGGCCATCTCGCTGGCCGCCGTGCCAATGAGCACGAGACATTGACTGAGATAGTGAATGCCACTGAGAGAATTCGAGAATGGTGGCCAGAAGGCGTAGTCTTCCCAATGCTCCCCGCGCTTCGGTGTGGGGAAGGGCATGTTCTTCGGATCAAGCTTGAAACGCGACTCTGTTGGGGTTACGCCCCGACTTCCAGGGCTGCTGGGGCTGGCTGTGGAGATTGGCGAGGTGAGGAGGGATACATCGTCCACCGGGGGATCGGCGAACAGTGAGAGAACACTCTCGCGAATGAGATTGAGAAGCTCGACTACTCCCTTTTGCAGCTCTCTGGCGTCATTGGACGAAAGTCGGTGGTGTTTGCGACTTTCTCCCTCGAACCCAGCTGGAAGAAGCTTTTGCCTGCTGCCGTCAATGAAGGATTGCGCTACTTCCCAAAAATCGAAGACTTCGCCAAGGAGACCTCCTTCAGAGGACAACAGCCTGCTCAGATAGGTATGGATACATTCCCAGAGCTCGATGACTTGGTCGCTATCGCGCATGGTTTGGGTGTCCAGAGCGCCGTCGCGAGGGGCCAACCGGAGGTATGATGCCACTGCCTGAGGCGTCGGTTTCTCACCACTAGCCAGTCGACGCCTCAGAATTTCTATCTCGACCTTGCAACGGTCACAGAATGCCGTGATCTTCTTTTTCAAGAAGTCGTAGCGACTGAGAAGCCATACCCAGATAGGATTGTCATCGACCCCTAGCTCCAGGAGAGCACCGATAAGCTCCATGTGCTCCTCTACGGGACCCGTAGCAGTAACTGTGGTCGAGGTTGTAGGCGCATCGCTGAGGCGCCTCCACAGGTCGCGTTTGAACGCTTGAATTTGCGAATCAACATCTATCCACATTCGTCCCATGGCCAGAATAACATGGGCCTCTTCATCCGTCAATGGCTGATGCTTGCTCGTTGCGGTATCGGCAATATCCCTGGCAGTCTTGGATAGAGCCCTCGCTTTTCGATACAGCTCAAAAACAGAGTCATAGTCTCTCTGCTTGATGGACTTGGAAAGGTGACCGCCTATTTCATAGATATCTCTATGTTTCTCCATTGTGTCGACAACGGACTTGAGCACCTGCTCCCTTTCACGTCCTCCCAATGCCGGACCCCACACCTCCTCTGCTTTGACAGATGCCTCGAGCAACGGAACACGGATACCCTTCATGCCGTATTCGCTCTCTTTCGTCAGAGCGTTCTTGCCGGGACCTGCATCGGAAAGGGCCGAGGTAGCTATGCTCTGTTTGCTTCCCGAGAGGCTCCGCAAATGACCAACCGACCGGCGGTTGGCATGAGGGCTCAAATACTCCTCTTTCTTGCCCTGATTTCTCATTTCTGTATATACACTGTCGATGGTCGCTTTGGCTCGAACGAATCGCTCGAAGTTCGCTTCGACGAGGACTTTCAGCGACGCGGATTTCTGGTCAATTGATTGAGAGAGAATGTTGAGACCTTCGAGAAGGGACCGTATCGACGCATCGGAATGCACTTGGGAGAGGAAGAGCGCCGGGGAGAAGGAAGTCGATGAGAGCAGGAAACGATTCCGCAGGCGACTCTCTTCATCTAGCGACAAGCCTCGCATTTTGAGGATCTTGAGCACACTGTCCCCGGTTCCCAGGGGATCAGGCTCATCCATCTTGACGAGATTCTCCCGACCATTGTTGCCTTTGAAGGAGCCTAGAGTGACCCCCTTCCGCGTGCTATTGCTGCGCTCCAGAGCAAAGTACCGGGATTTCTCCGAGCGCGAGCCACGACGTTCTAAAGCTTCGTCTTCAGAATGGTCGCTTTCATCCAGCTCAGCGGGCCATTCTTCAGGGAAAGCCGAGGGCAAGTTATAGTAACTGGCCACGTCGACGTCAGCCATGATCGGGGGTGGGTGGGTAGGTGTTTTGGGAAATCGGCGATAACGGAGGTTGTTATTATGGGGGGAGCGATTAAGCACGGAGGGGAGGGATTAGGGAGGCCACATGCAGGAAAACGCGCAGCAGCAGGGGTGGGGACAATTGGGGGGTTCAGAATTAGGGTGTTAACTATAGAAAGGATAGGCACAGCCAGGACAGGCAGTTCGGAGGGAACGTTTTGGACGTTGGGTTAGCTTGGGGAGTTATCAGATCAAGCACGGGAAGCAGACTGGAGCCGGTGGACTGACGGTAACTCGCAAGTTTGTCTCTTGTTCGGTCGGACCGGGAGCGGCGGTGCCGAGAATCACTGGATGGATTAAAGTGCCTTTCTTCGCCGCGACTTGCTCTCTTCGTTCCCGCACAAGGAAACCCGCCGCCGCCTTTTCCACCTCTCTCTCTCTCTCCTCTCTCTTCTTTCTCTTCCTTACTCTCCTCTCTTCTCCTCACCACCCCCCCAATTCCTTCTTTTTATTCCACCCTTGACCGTTTGACGTCGATCTCGGGGACTTTATCACAATGATTGCCGCCAGGAACTTTGTCGCTCCCGCCCGTCAATGCTTGCGGACAACACGTGTGTCCCCTCGCATTGCCTCGCCCTTCTCGCAGGTAACCTACCGACCGCTTTCCTCGACAACATCACCTGGAAGGATTTTCGATCTAACTGCACATGTAGCTCCGCACTTACTCCGTTGCTGCCGATGAGCGCGTCGCCAAGTTCAAGGGTCAGAAGGACACTGATGTATGTCGCGTCCCGGGCAACGCCTGAAACATTTTTTTGCGTCCATCCTTTGGTCCGGTAGCTTCCGCCGCAACCTGCGACAACGGCCTATATCCAACAGCTGTACCGAAGGATGGATCTTATATGATGGTGTTGTTGACTTGATGTGTCCTTATAGGGAAAATACACTGTTACCCTGATCGAGGGTGACGGTATCGGTCCCGAGATCTCCCAGTCGGTGAAGGATATCTTCGCTGCCGCAAACGTACGCCTCCCGCTTTCCTACGATCGCCTATGATATACAAACCCAGCGATGCTAAACTACCTGTGTGCAGGCCCCTGTCAAGTGGGAGCCCGTCGATGTTACTCCCATCCTGAAGGACGGCAAGACCGCCATCCCCGACGAAGCCATCAAGAGCGTCCAGAAGAACTACGTTGCGCTCAAGGGTCCTCTTGCTGTACGTCCTTCCTTTCTAGACTCTTTTGCGATGGATCTCTCTCTAAACGCTTCGTCACATAGACCCCCGTCGGTAAGGGACACGTCTCTCTGAACTTGACTCTCCGTCGTACTTTCAACCTCTTCGCCAACGTCCGTCCCTGCCGTTCCGTTGCCGGTTACAAGACCCCCTACGACAATGTCGACACCGTCCTGATCCGTGAGAACACCGAGGGTGAATACTCCGGCATTGAGCACGTCGTCGTCGATGGTGTCGTCCAGAGCATCAAGCTCATCACCAAGGAGGCCTCCGAGAGAGTGCTCCGCTTCGCCTTCCAGTACGCTCGTTCCATCAACAAGAAGAAGGTCCGTGTCGTGCACAAGGCCACCATCATGAAGATGTCCGACGGTCTCTTCCTCAACCTTGCTCGTGACATCGCCAAGGAGTTCCCCGACGTCGAGTTCGATGCTGAGCTGCTGGACAACTCTTGCCTGAAGATCGTTACCGACCCCACCCCCTACAACGACAAGGTCCTTGTCATGCCCAACCTGTACGGTGACATTCTGTCCGACATGTGCGCCGGTCTGATCGGTGGTCTTGGTCTGACCCCCTCCGGTAACATTGGTGACGAGTGCTCCATCTTCGAGGCCGTCCACGGTTCTGCCCCCGACATTGCTGGCAAGGGTCTTGCCAACCCCACTGCTCTGCTTCTGAGCAGTATCATGATGCTTCAGCACATGGGTCTGACCGAGCACGCCGCTCGTATCCAGAAGGCTACTTTCGACACCCTCGCCGAAGGAAAGGTAAGCTAGCATCCCATCAATTTGACGTCAACATTGCGAAAACACGATGCTAATAGTTGCAATTTTAGGCCCTCACCGGTGACTTGGGTGGTTCCGCCAAGACCCACGAGTATGCTGAGGCCATCATGAAGCGTCTGTAAGGGATTGGAACATGCCTGTACTATTCCCCTAAATTGTTTCCTTTTTAGCCTGTGAATGACTCTAGACCAAATATGTAGTGATCTACTGTATGTGCTCCCATGTATTTAGATGCCATCTATGTTGTTTTACTTTCTACCTCGATTTTCCTACTCCCAATCTGTTCAGTCATTGTTGGAGAAAGAATGATACTAGTAGCGAGTAGCATGATCGACGGAACATGCATAGTCTACCGTCCCGGTAAAAGAACAATCGATTGTAGGACCAAGGAAAAGAAAGGTGATAATACAAACAAAGCCCCATCAAAACGCCTAGTTCTCCCAAGGTATCATTATCGACGTATTTGTTACAGACAGAGCCAACGAACGTCAGCGGGAAAGCACATATCAATATCAAGGCTGACGCCGTCGACCCCTCCGAGTTCCCGTGCCTGCTGCACTTCTCCCCTTCTGCTTCGTCCTCGATGTCTGGGCGCGCGTACTTCGCGTCGTAGGCGATCCTCCCTCCGCTTCCTCATCGACCTCGCTATCATCCTTCGCAGCGTCCGAACCATCTTCATCGCCATCTTCATTCGCGCCTGTCTCCTCGCCAGAATCCCCTTCTTCCTCCGCAGCTCCGGAACCCTTCGCCGGCGGTTCAACTTCGACTTGAAGACGCGACGAACGCGTCCCTCGTCCAGAGGTACGCCCGCCACGGCCTGATTTCCGTCCTCGTGATGGCGCGGGGGAAGAGCGTGGTTCTGTGTGAGAGGAACAGCTTGCGATTAGTATGTTTCTTCCAACGATCCGACAACCGAGGTAGTAGTATCATTTACGCACCGTCCGTATCAGCCACCGTGCTCCCCCTCCTCGATCCCGCATGCGTGCTAGGATCAGGAGACGCCGTCCCTTCCATCGCCAGTCGCCGTTCGAACATCAGTTCTCCGTATTCGTCCTGGGGTAGTTCGAACGGGCAGTAGAATTCCTTCGAGTCCTCGGCGGTGTCTGTTATCAATGAATCTTCCTGTTTATCCCGTGATATTTGACGAATGTTAGCCCGAGCCGGATTTCAGAGGATGTTGAGTTTCATTGTTGGGACGAGGCATCAACCCACCCGTTCATCCAAGGCCGGAAGATTGTATAATGTCCCCAGCTTCTTCCATATCCCTGGTATCCGTGTGTGTTCTGCGTGCGCGGGCGCATACCCTTGGCTTTTCATGAACTCCGAAATCGCGATCATGCGGAAGTGCTTGTGCATGCCTTGAAAAACAGAAAGCTCATTAGCGACACACTGTTCGGAGTAGTGCTTGCCCTTGCGCCTGACAGAGGGGAATAATTGCTGACATACCTACAGGCTTCCATTTTATAATCCCCTTCAACAACGCGGTCTCTTGCTCGTCCGTCCAGGGATCTGTCACTGGGTCGTAATCCGCGGTTGTTGGCTGGTCAGTGGTGCTTGCGGACGGCTCGGCACTCTCATTTTGAGGAGTGAGTTTGGCTTTCTTGCGTGGGGGCATGGCGGTTAAATGGTATGTAACGAGAGAGCTTAGCTTGTGTGTATTCCGTAGAGGTGGGTAGGTAAATGATGGTTTGCTGAAGGGACGGAGGGGAGAGCTCTCGTCCGCGGGTTGGCTGAACCGCGGCGAATTCCTGCCGCTTCGGTTTCCCGAACAAGCGGTGGTCCGGGCGTTGGACGGGGAGAGAAGCTAGACTGTATTTGGTTTAGTGAGGCGTGATCTCGCGCTGCCAACGCGTCCTCTGGTGCTTGTCACTTGATATTCCCACGAGACTTTGATGGGTTGTGTTCGATTGAGGACGATGAATCTGGGAGAATCCACTGCTGGCCCGCTGTCTGGTCATGGCTTACAGAGTATTGGTCAGTTCGTCTTGGGGTTTCTGCATCCATCGAAGCTGTTGGCGTGGGAGTAGTTGTCCGCTGCATAGTACGAACTATATGCTGAAAGACGTCATTATTGGTTCCGGACTGCGAGTTGTTTCAAGTGTCCTATGGAGTGCAATTGACAGATTCGGCAAGAGAATGCCTCAGAGGAGAGCAGGGTGACAATGCTAAATGTGATCTGTGAGCGGTAGCCATCATGGTATTGCCCCATGAGGCTACACCTGTCGGTCGTCGGTTCCACTGTGAAATATGATTGCTGACTATGGTGCAATGCCATTGAGCTTACTGTCGCTTTCCTTCGCCAAACAGGACCGATAGTCTATCTGACTTGACCAACGTGAGTGAGCGAATGATACGATTCTGACACTGGTAAAAGAATCCTACGTTCGACTCGCGCATATTGCAGGCGCACATCAAGGCGCACTTTATCCTTTCACTTGAAGCACATTACAGTTCGTATATGTTTCTTGCGAAATTAGCGTCATTATATACAATCTAACATCGTCGTCTTCCTATACTAGTGACGAAGGCTATTTCCAGAACCGAGAAGGTGCTCCCTTCAGAAGAAATGAAGGTCCGACTCCGCCCATCCTTGCTCCAGTAGGATCTTGCGGGCGGACTTCTCCATGGCCTCTGGACCACAGATAAGCACCATGCTCTTGCCATCGGGAATGGCATACTCCTTCAGCAGGTCTTCCGATATACGTCCACGATGTCCAGTCCAACTCTCCGGAGCCTTGGTTAAGGTGTGTACCACCTTGCACTTCTTGCTATCCAACGCTTCATAGGCGTCCAGTTCGTCACGACAGAGAATGTCCTCTTCCTGTCTATTGCCATCCAGGACCACGCATGAGGTTGGGTCCTGCTTGTCCTGTATCACTGCACGTAGCACTTGGAAAATTGGCGTGATACCAGTTCCTCCACAGATCATCTTGAAAGAACTAACATGACGCTCTTTGCCGCTCACCATGATCTTGCCGTTTCCAAGGTACTCGAACCTGCCAGTGGGACCCTTGCAATCGATTTCTGATCCCAACGCAAGCTTTTCTAAAGCCATGGTCATCTTGCCACCTTTGACCGTGGGCGTGTCGAAGTAGATCTTGACCAGCAGGTCCATGGTGCCTTCCTGATTGGTATCAGATATAGGGGTGTATGAGCGGATAATGGATTCTTTGCTGGTGGGGTCGGCGACCTTGATCATGAGATGCTGGCCAATGGGCAGGCCCAGGGTCTGTTTGTCATGTTGAAGCTGGAAAGTGAAAATGCGGGTGTCCCATGACACGTCCTTCCTCTTCACAAGGGTCATCTTTGACCATGATTTGGACTGGAGGAATGTTGCGCGAGGTTCATCTGATTCTGGTGCGCTATCGTTCTTGAGCGCTTCCAACGACGCCTTATCCATGGTTCCGATATGGTAATCAGGCATCATGGCTTTGGCCGTTTCGCTATCTGTGAGTGTGTCAGTATTCCAAATTCCAATCAAAAAAAGGTCCTTAGACATACGGATGGCCAAAAATTCCTCCGAAACGTCGATGCCAGCAGAGGAAATGATACTCTGAGCTCCTCCAGGATGGCCCTCAAGGAATGCCGTGCCATCGTACACTTCGCCGTTCACGATGAACCAGGGTTTCTCATCGCTTGAGTTCTTCTTGAATTCTTCAAGGTCGATCATCCGGTTCACGCCGTCTTTCTTCATGTTGATCTCCTTCTCGGGCTCTGGCTCTGCCGGTTCCTCTCCTGCGTGTCTTTCTCCCCAGTTACCGTTGACCAGATCACCACCGGCCTTTTTGACGCGTTCCATCCATCCACCAGGCCCGGTAGGATCTGTTGGGTGGTCGAACCTGAGAGTCCCATTCTCCTTTGTGATGGTGACCCGGAACCAAGGATTATTCATCATGCCCAGAACAGACCAGTACATATCGCGCGGTTGGAGAGACAAGGCCTCATCCATGGCCCGCACAAGAATGGCATCTGTATTTTCTAGCTCGGGAATGGCGATATCCAGCGACCAAAAGCTCCAGCAGAAACAAGTCTCGCGCCAAGACATGTCTACTCTGCCACCGAACAGGTCCCCTTCGAAGTCACGATACTTGTCTTCGGCATATGAAATGTTGGCCAATCGCCAGGCTAAAACCAGGTTAGCTCTGCTTCAGCACATTTGTGCGATGATCGTCGTACATTTGCCTTTGTCTAAAGATATTTCAACTCTTGTAATCCTCCGACCGCCTCCTGCATAGGCATATCCTTTCACGTTGTACGACGGGCCTGCCGACGCAAGATCCAGCACCTCCTTGTGCTCGGGGTATACTACAGAAGAGTTCACGTTCAAATCATAAATCGCATATCGGTCATCGCGCCACCAGTTTGGGTCACTGGATGACATTTCAGGCGAAACCATTGTCCTGGATAAAAGTTAAGACAACGTACTCTTGTGGTCGGATAGGCGAGTCTTACGGTAATACTCGGTTGTCATAGATGTGGTACCAGTTATCACTGGGCGCATCAGTCAGAATGAGCTTCTTGAGCCATTTGACACTTCGGCCACCGATCTGGCCGGGTACGACGGCTCTCAGGGGACGGCCGTGGTCAGGACGGAGATCCTCGCCGTTCATTTTGTGGGCCAGCATGATTCCCCTATTGGGATCCATGGCCCAATTGAGTTTGATTGAGGTGCCGTAATACCCGTTTGGCTGAAAGCAAAATGTCAGAGCACTACATGCATGGATGGATAGGGCGACTTACCAGCTTATCTGCTCCCTCCATGCAAACATACTTGGCTTTCCTCAGAGGCTTCGCACTCCGTAGGATATCTGCCATCATTGGGCCAGTCCAAAGGGCTGTCGACAGGCCAGCGGAACCCCATGAGAAACCTTTGGTCTTCCTGACCACATTCTGCTCCTTCCGTCTGTTTCCCGCACAGACGAGAGTGATTGGTGCTGTGATCTGATCGTATTTCTGCAAGATTTCCCGGAAGTTGAGGACAAGCGGCTTCTCCACTAGGCTGCATATCCCTTGTCAGATAACGGCGCGACGTTTGGGGGAAATGATATTCTTTACCCTTCGATGCTAATCTCCCAATTTGGGATGTCTTCGTCCTTCACCAAAGGTACCGGGCCATGATTTCTCACATAGAATAGTTCCGGGGAAGTCAAGAAGCCTAGTTTCCAGTGAGCATCGCCACGACTACAAGGGCCCTTGCGCGGAGTTCAAAGGGGACAGGGCAGCAGGGAGAGAGGTTGAGTACCTTCATCGTACAGAGCCGTAAGTGGAGGCTCGACATTGAAGGGATGAACACCCGTCAGTCTGATAAGGCGAGGGTCGCGGGGGACATGATAATCGGGAGTTGGTTTGTCTATACTGAGAACTTCGGTTGGTGCTTTTGAAGGGGGCGGCAGAGGAATGTCTGGAAGTTCCACGGCAGGGAGCTCCTCTTGGTGGACCTTGATCGGACCCGACTTGAGGGCAACCCCTTGAGCGGTGAAAGGCTCTGTCAGCACCTCAGTGACAGTCGCCATGATATGCGCTTATGTGGTTCAATAGTCTCGAGGTGCCAGATCAGACATGAGACGATATCGAGAATGGAAACGAGTATAGATTCGGACCGATACAGAGCATGCAGAAGGCAGATGAGAGGAGCCAGACACACATCCGGGGAAGACCAGGGTTAGCTACGGGAAAATTAATCGCTCAAAAACCAGATGACAGATGAACCCTCAAAACTGCCGGCTTTTGGATTAGCTCAACGGGGTGACCAGCAACGGCCGGGATCTGGTACTAAGTCCACGGAGAAGAAACAGGAGGCATTCCACCTGGTTTGAGATCCTCTTGGGGGGGCGTGATTGAGGGTCAACCTTCGGCCGGAGAGATTTCCGCGGGAGCCGGTGGATTCGAACAATGAGTGATCTAACGAGCAGAGATATGTAATAGTAATACTCCGTACTCTTCAGATGGTCTAGTCATGGCCTGGTGTGTCCTCCAGCCGGGAAGACAGGGAGAAACCGGGCTTCTCATTCGAACATTCCTACGGGGGGGTGTGGGCACTTGAGACCTGGTCCCGAAAAAAAAAAAAAGTATAAAAAACCCAGACATGAAAAGAAAATCCGGAAACAAGCCTCTCCCGAGCAGCCAAGAGACTCACTAAACTAGTGACAATTTGTGCTGTAATGGAAAAACAAGCCCCAGGAGGACAGCGGCCAGATCCACTTGTCTAGAGGGCTCCACCGCCGATTAATTGCCCATTAATTGCAGCAGGATTACGAAGTCTCCAGCTGGCCGTGAACAGAGTATTGTTCTCGTGTATTCACGGTATCGGAGAATATTGAGTAAGTAATATTGCCTGGGACTGTTGAGCTTTTTGCCGCAGTGGAGACGGGCAGAAAAAAAAAAAGATGGAAAGCAATGGTCCCATCGGTCGACTAAGTAGTGGTCAGTGAGCAGACGTCTAAAAACAACTGGTAGTCAGTCAGTAGTGGTTAGTCAGTAGTACATGGTGCTATGTAGCATGCACCTGCTGCTGGAAACCAAACCATAGTCAACGCATCCCTCGAAATCCCTCACAATGAAGTTGATGATTCCAGCAACTGCAAGGAGCTTCAATCAATCAATCAATCTCTGGTACGTATACTTCCGATCACGGCCAATCAGACGCTTATCAGGAACCGATAAGGCAGTCGCGATAAGCAACAGCCTCAATGCCTTCCTTTCTCCATTGCATCTCCGCGGAGTCGCACTCGCTCGCTCGAATCCATGCAGCCACTCCCCAATTACCGATCGAACCCATCGTATGCCCGGTTCTTATCCGTCCTTTCCCCTCTCCACGAACGGTGGCTCCTCTATGATCTGCATGGCGGGTCAAGAGGTCCCTGATTACAGAACGATCGAGCATGGACCCCCTCGCAACTGATTACCTCAGAGGTCATAGTCACCCATCCAGTATCCCACGGAGAAACACAACTCAAACGCCCCTATGTCCGCAACTCCGCGCAGTTATCGGTCTCCTCTTGGCGAGATAGTTACAATGATGGTGGTTTGTTGTTCATGGCTGTGTAGCGCAGCTCCGGTGCCGCGGGGTTCTCTTTTCCCTGTGGCACAAACAAAACCGCGCTGGTTTCCTGTTGGCCACTGCCATCGATGTAGGATTCCATGATTATCCTCTGTCATCACAATGCCTCTGTTGGATGGATCAGGGAATGGTGACGCTGTCGTCATGGACAGCGTCCCCAGCGTTCTCCCTCCTGCAGTTGATTCCCTACCAGATCCGGCTACTCGCCGATCGGCTTCGAATAGGCGCCAGAAGATCGTGGTGGTCGGCTTGGGAATGGTGGCTATATCCTTCATGTATGTTTGGGCAGTCGAACAACTGTGGATTAACGCCGAAACTCGGGATGCTGACTACTCCTGTTTGTTCTTAGTGAGAAGCTCGTCAAGCAGGACTCAGAGCGACGAAAGTATGATATCGTTGTCATTGGTGAAGAACCACACATTGCCTACAATCGAGTCGGCCTATCGTCCTTTTTTGAGCATCGCAAGATCGAAGATCTATACCTGAACCCAAGAGAATGGGTGAGTACTCCGTAGTCTGCTAAGTTTCCCGATCCGCGCTCGGGATGGCGGCCCTGGTCCAGACACTAACGCCGAAGCCGGTGCCCTAACTAGTACGGTTCCATCAAAGACCGATCCTTTGACTATCACCTCAACACTCGGGTAACCGACATCTTTCCCGACCGTAAGACGGTCAAAACATCGACTGATGATGTTATTCCTTACGATATCCTTATTTTGGCTACGGGTTCTGATGCCGTACTTCCCACGCGCACCCCGGGACACGATGCCAAGGGCATCTTTGTCTACCGGACGATCTCGGATCTGGAAAAGCTCATAGAGTTTGCATCCAAGCATAAAGGTGAGACGGGCGTCACTGTAGGAGGTGGTCTGCTGGGCCTAGAGGCGGCCAAAGCAATGACAGACCTGCAAGACTTTGGCAGTGTCAAACTCGTCGATCGCAACAAGTGGGTGTTGGCGAGACAGCTGGATGGAGATGCTGGCACCCTTGTGACCCGCAAGATTCGAGAGCTGGGCTTGGAGGTACTACACGAGAAGCGCGTTGCGCGCATCAATACGGATGACGATAACAACGTTACTGGAATTGTTTTCGAAGATGGTGAAGAACTCAGCTGCTCATGCATCTGTTTTGCTGTACGTTTCCTTTTGCCATTGCCAGCTGCTTTTGGCGTGCTAACTTCCAGGGCAGATCGGAGTCAGGCCACGAGATGAGCTGGGCCAGACTGCGGGAATCCAGTGTGCCGGAAGAGGAGGTTTCGTAATCGATGAAAGGTACAGTCAGAGCTTGAAGAATCATCTAATAAATATTGACACACTACAACAGCCTCCAGACATCCATCGAAGACATTTATGCGATCGGAGAATGTGCAAGTTGGGAGAACCAAACCTTTGGTATCATCGCTCCCGGCATTGAGATGGCCGACGTGCTCGCATACAACCTCACCAACCCCGACAAGGAACCCAAAAGCTTCAAGCGACCCGATCTCAGTACCAAGCTAAAGCTGCTAGGTGTCGATGTGGCTAGCTTTGGTGACTTCTTCGCCGATCGGGATGGGCCCAAGTTCCTCCCCGGTCAACGGCCGTCAATGCCCTCCGGAGGTGCAGCTGAAGATGAGCCAGCTGTAAAGGCGCTTACATACAAGGATCCTTTTGGCGGGGTCTACAAGAAATATCTCTTTACCATGGACGGCAAATACCTCCTGGGTGGTATGATGATCGGGGATACGAAGGACTATCTCAAGTTGAACCAGATGGTCAAGTCCCAAAAAGAGCTGGACGTACCTCCCAGCCAGTTCATTCTGGGGGCTCAGAGCGGTGGGGAGGAAAATGCCGATGATCTGTAAGTTATCAGAATCGCTCAGACGCCGAAGTAATAGGCTAATACCTTATGCGCCTATAGGGATGACAGCACTCAAATTTGTGCCTGCCATAATGTTACCAAAGGCGACTTGGTTTCGAACATTAAGAATGGCACCTGCAAAACCGTTGCGGAGGTCAAATCGTGCACTAAAGCGGGAACCGGCTGTGGCGGCTGTATGCCGCTAGTGCAGTCCATCTTCAACAAGGCCATGCTGGACATGGGACAAGAAGTCTCGAACAACTGTATGTATACACTTATCTTTTGGCTTTGACATTATTCTAATGTGTATGCAGTATGTGCTCATATTCCACACTCGCGGGCCGACCTCTACAACATCATCGCCATTAAGCAACTGAAGACGTTCGAGGATGTCATGAGGACGGTCGGCAAGAACCCCGATTCGCTTGGCTGCGAGCTCTGTAAGCCTGCAATTGCCTCGATTCTCTCCAGTCTTTTCAATAGACACATCATGGATAAGGATTTGCACGAGTTACAAGAAACAAACGATCGGTTCCTTGCCAACATTCAGCGGAACGGGACCTTCTCGGTTGTTCCTCGAGTACCTGGAGGAGAAATCACGGCGGACAAATTGATTACGATCGGGCAGGTCGCCAAGAAATACAACCTTTACTGCAAGATTACTGGTGGTCAGCGTATCGATTTGTTTGGAGCCAAGAAGCAGGATCTGCTTGACATCTGGACGGAACTGGTCGATGCAGGTATGGAGAGCGGGCATGCGTA